CCAAATCAGTGTTTACCTAACTCGCGCTTACATACAATATCATCACAACTAAAGGAAGGCACACAGACAAACACATCGTTCACAACCTTTCAGAAGCAAACACAACAATCACAACCATAACCATCATCACCCACACAACCACAATAACCATCAGGGGTACTTGTAAGCCTGGACCTACGGCCTAGAAAACCGTGCGTTAATGTTCGAAATAAGGCAAACAGAGTATTAGGTTTTATATCTAGAAGTGTAAGTAATAAGAGTGTAGAGATCTTATTGCAACTATATCTTGCGCTAGTCAGGACTCGTAGCAACGGATTTAAGTTGGATAAGTTTAGGTTTAGGAGGGAGATAGGAAGGAACTGGTTCACAAATAGGGTGGTGGACGAGTGGGACAAGCTTAGCAACAATGTAGTAAGTGCGGGAACTCTGGAAAGTCTTAAAGGGAGGCTGGATAGATTCATGGATGATAGAGAGTGGTAGTAACTCTCGACAGGAGCTGCCATGCACAGCCCAACCGGCCTATTGCAGACTCCTTATGTTCTTATCACCCACACAACCACAGCAGTCATCATGACCCACACAAGAACATCTCGCATAAAAACAACCACAAACTCTCACCATCAACCCACAACAAAACCCATCATCCAAGCAGCAACATAAACACGTTAAAACAAAGACAAAAGACCTACACAGTCGAAAACACAAAAATATACATTCTAACTACAACCGCCCTAACACGACAACAAAAACATTTCGTAACTAAAACAAAACAAAACTGGTGTAGTGGCTTATGCAGACAAAAGGGAAATTATTGAAAAAAAAAACTTGAACAATGACGCCCAAATAACATCTCGTACAAAAATAGTAACAACAACACACATTGATTGATGTGTGTTGTGTGATTAAATATATGTATGTACAGTATGTGTGTTTACTGTATGTATATTAACAAAAAATACATTCCATTAGCGGTCAAATATACTTCACTCGCAAAAGACGCTAACAAGAACACACTTAAAAGCCGCTGTGACAAAAAACAAAAAAGTTAGTGAGGCGGCAGGTAGTGATGAAGGTGTTAGGTGGTGGAAGTGGTGATGGTGGTGATAGTGGTGGTGTTAGTAGCGGTGGCGATGATAGTGGTGGTAATATCCCGCTCACTACCACCACTGACCCACAGTCTGACGCACGACAACTACCCCCTCACCTACCAACAGTACGAACCATCATCGAACAGCTGACTCGCTCCTCATATATAAACATAAGCACATGGTCAGGTGCAGGGAACAGCTGACTCGCTCCTCATATATAAACTGTAAACATAAGCACGTGGTCAGGTGCAGGGATCGGCTGACTCGCCCTATGTACTTTGGCGGTGATGATACTCTTAAGGTAATAACTTACATGTTATTAAGTACTAGTCATAAATATATTTTTTTAATTTACAGCAAAGTTCAACTCCCGTGACTGGTAATGTTTCCCAGTCTAACATAAACTGGCTGTCGAGATGGGGAACCGGAGCTTAACAGGCTCCAGTCTTAATCAGTTCTAGTAATTACCAGTCAGAATTGGACCTGTTTTTATTGTGTCCCAAATAATAAGACTCATTCCTCGTGGGCATGATTCGGTTAGGTTAAGTTAGCGCAAATTACGTAAAATTAGGTTAGTTTAGTTCAATTGAAAAGGGGCCAAGTTAGGTTAAGTAAGATTAAGATGGGTTAGGTTAGGTTAGGTTAATGTGAGGTTCAACTCTCTAAAAGTGAGGAAGATGGACATGCAAATATGGAAGGAGAAAATACGAACAGGAATAGAAGAAAGAAAAGAGAAAATTGAGAATGAGACAGCAAGAAAAACGGAATGTGAGGATGGAAGAGTGAGAAACAATGGTAAGATAAAAGATGAGTGTGTGTGTGTGTGTGTGTGTAACCGTCCTCATCCATTATTCATCCACTTTCTCACCCATTTACGCACCCACCCATATGATGTATAACTTCCCACCTGAACTAAGGGAGATGAATAACTTGGAGATGCTCGTTAATACTCATCTGGGTTATTCATCATTCACGTAGAATTTTATAAGCGCAGAAAACGGTATATTCAGAGTGAAAGTTAGCTCTGAATGACAGTTCTGGCTCACTAACTTGGCTGACTCATTGACGTTACTACCTTAACTGATTCGGTAACTTTACTGACTCGCTAACTTGACCCACTGACTTGACCGAGTGTTAATAAATATGTATTTTATCACGTAACCACCAAATAACTCCCTACACACACACACACACACACACTCGTAACCTACATATAGTTTTAGGTGTGCGACTCTGGCTATGTAAATCGTTGGAGGCAACAGAAGCCGGAGACAGTTGCAGGAAACGCGTCACTTGGACATGGGTGACACGTAGCTGACCTAATAATAATAATAATGATGATAATATTTGGCTCTATCTAAAAAAATACTCTAAATACTAATTAGAAAAATACTATACGTTTCATTTTAGTAAATTTTGCCATACATTTAAAAAAAATATACAGTTTTTTTTCCAATAATATTTTTGTCAAATGTCAAAACGCATTCATTATATCCTGTTTTAATCTTGTACAAAATACATCTAAGAATAGTTATTGTATTCATTTTTAAGTAACATACCAAATACATCTAAAATTACACTTATTGTATTCGTTTCCTGGATCAGATATTCACACACGTAATCGAAGCGCCGTTGTACAGTAACCAGGAATTAACATAAGGATGAAGCCATTGAGAGGAAGGTGACAATCAGTTGTTCTTTATTTACTCTTAGCGGTAGTTGTAGGTCAAGGAGGCGTCAGCTCTCTCTCTCTGGTTACCTACGTCAGTCTATTTAGTTTTATACATTTACACAGTTTCATAACCTCAAACAAACAAAAAACAATAACATAACATCAAACTCAAACAAATACATGACATAAATATCAAACATAATATACAAAAACAGTGAATCAACGCAACAAAAACATTCTTCTCGACAAGTGAAGAATTTGTGCTGAAGTTTCTTAATTGTTTATGGCCAGGATGGTAAATATAACCTTAAACTCACTCGCCAGTCACTCACTCACCAACCAACCACTCGCCACGCACTCACTCACTCACTCACAGGTCACAAAAGTTACGATACAAAGATAGAATATAAAAACAGGTGGGCTAATCTTCAGGTGATCCCAGATACCTTAACTCAGTAAACATGAGAATCCTAAAAGTGATTGTCCCTTGACCCACGGCTTCCTTCTTTCCTTCAATCTTTCTCGTTATTTTTCTCGCTAGTTTATCTTTCTCTTTCTATTATTTGAGTCGTTTTCTGTTTTATATTTGTTCTTCAGTGTTATTTTTTTATTAATTTGTTTTATTTCTTATTCTACGTCTTTTTTTTGGTGGTGTTTTCAGTAGTTTTGTTTTATCGTCATATTCGCTTGTTTTTATTATTTTATCTTTACTGTATAGTTTTCTCTCCGTTTCTCATCTCCCTTACGTTTATCACCAGGGGAGAGGACAGAAACAAACATGCAGACAGACAGACAGACAGACAGACACAGACAGACAGAAAAATAAACCAAGAGGCACAGACAGACAGACAGACAAACAGACAGGTAGATAGATAGAATGAGACAATGACTGACAGAAACAGACAGGATATTGCAGGGTGACAGTGTCAGAGAGAGCGAATGAATATGAAGCATTCTTATCAACATTCGTCGTACGCAAGACGGAACTACTCCCGAATCTGGGATGTGACAGGTGGTGGGCATTATAATTACCTGCCTGACCCCGAGTGTGTGTTACCTGCCATACTACACCCTTCCTCTTCCATACACCCTCCTTCTCCACTCACTGCTTCCTCCTCCTCCTCCACTCACTGCTTCTCCTCCACTCCTCCTCCTCCTCCACTCACCTCCTCCACTCACCTCTCCTCCTCCTCCTCCTCCACTCACCTCCTTCCTCCTCCTCCTCCACTCACCTCCTCCTCCTCCTCCTCCTCCTCCTCCACACACCCATTTCCTCCTCCTCCCATATGCCTCCTTCTTCCTTCCTCCTCCAAACACCTCCTTCTCAATTCCTCATCCACTCCTCTCTTTCCCTCCTCTTTCCCCCAAACTATACTCCCAACATCCTCTCTCCACCACCACTACTACCACCACCACCACCACCACCACCACCACCACTACCACTACCACCACCACCACCACCACCACTACTACCACCACCACTCACCCAGCTGTTGCTAGTATTCACACGCACATTTATTTTCCTTTGTTCCCTCGAGGCGGCCGACATGTGCAGTGCTGGTAGTTATATGGGGTCCACAATTGTTGTTGGTCGTAAGAGGAAGTAGGTCATAAAGGTACCAGGAAACACTTAAATAGTTATTAACCTGAGAATCTGAACTTACCTTTGACAGCCACTTACGGAAGGACCACTTGAATTTGTTGATTTTGTATGTTTTATTTAGTATTGTGGGGTTACTTAGAGTACTTGTTTAATGGTCATAGTTATTACAGTACAGACATACATACATACACACAACAAGAGGCTGAAGGTAAAATGAGGACGTGTAATACTAAAGTTACAAAATGGGAACTTGCTATGTTTTTTTTTAGATATATTTTTAATCTTCAAGGCACCACCTGTAGCTCCTTAAATACGATGTCAACCATCTGAGTTTCCTAAGTTACCTCACTAAGACAACTTGAGTGGAGTGTAATTGTAGCAGTTTCCATTAGCGTGTTATTGTTGTTGGCTTTGGACTTTGGATTGCCGTAACTCGCACTCTGGCGTACAGACCTCGGCGTCAGCACCATCAGACGTTGGTCTAATGTGATAACCAAGCTGTCTTTTTGTACTCTACCATACATTTGTTTCCTCTGTGTCTTCAATGTTATATTTTCTCACCATCTCCTCATGCAGTGTTGTTTTATTGTCCTTTATGTTAATTGTTGTCTAAATTATTGTTTCCTTAACTCGGTAGTGTTGGTGTGGCTGGCCCTCGTGTCAACAATGTGCTTGAACGACGCCGACGTCAGTGCAGACCAAGACGTTCAACGCGGTACAGACGCCGTCGTAGATTACACCCAACGCAGCATCAACGCTGACGTGAACGACGACCAACATAACGTTGAGGCTGACGTGGGCGACGACCAACATAACGTTGAGGCTGACGTGGGCGACGACCAACATAATGTTGATGCTGACGTGGGCGACGACCAACATAACACCGATGCTGACGTGGGCGACGACCAACATAACACCGATGCTGACGTGGGCGGCGACCAACTCGGCATCAACGCCGGAAAGTCATCAGACCAACAATCCATCACCTCAAGAACCTCCAACTTGGACGTGAGCGCCTTCTTCCACACACCCGTCGCCTCCAACCTGGTCACCCTCATCACCAGCGCCATGAGGAGACGCGGGGAGAAGCAGCAGCTGGAAGAAGAGGAACAACAACAACAACAAGAGGAGGAGGAGGAGGAGGAGGATGACTGGTACGACGACGAAGTGGAGGAGAAAGGCTGGTTTAGCGACGAAGGGGATACGAACGTGACCACGACGACAGAGGAGAACACATCGAAGAACATCACGTCACTCCTCAGCCAATTTATCCCCGCCTCGGCTGCTCAGGTGAGTGATGATTTTAGTGTGTAGAACTCTGCTTCGTACCTACTACTAGAGAGCGACCGTCATCCAGGCTGTGGTTCGTTAGAGCGCTTTACGTCGTAATTCTAAAGTAGACTACAGGAACTGGTCTATCTTAACCCAACTAAACTTTAATCTAACGTAACCCGACTTAACCCAATCTAATCTTAACCTAACGTAACCTAACTTACTGTACTCTACTCGAATTTAACCTAACCTAGTCTAACCTTAACCTCTCCAGAACTAAATCCACCTAACATGATACAACCTAAATTTAACCTAACCTAATTTACAGTATAATTAACGCGTTTTAACCACTCAGCCTGGATGAGGAGCTTTCACTCGCCACGTCATCTACATCCTGATATCTACAGAAGGAATTAACAGTATCATTAACATAAGCTGTAGTGTTATAATTTCGAACAGTGTCATAACTTTAAACATGATCAAACCTTAAGAGTATACACTGTGAACGTATTGACCGCACACCGCCCCTGTAGAAGAACAACTTTCACATAATAGAATAAATTTGTGTAAATAAAAACATACAGAAAGCTCGATATAACCTGAATAATATTGCTGACACAATAGTGACCAGAAAGTGAGGGGGGCTGTAGGCATGATGAATTCTTAATCAACCAGAAAGTCATTCACAGCGCTGTTGTGGCCAGTAATGACTAAATACATAATAATCTTTCTAGAAAATGTTACGAGAACTTTTTAATATTTTTCCAAGAACTGGAAACTATTACAGCATACTTTAAAGTACACTGTTGTTTGTTCATTCAGTTCAGCTGCAGCAGAGGGAGTGTTATTGTTCATCACCTGCAAGGCAGACTTTAACATTAAATAATACCACACACACACGTCATTATAGTAATAATACAACCATCATTATCACTAATCCCTCCTCTTCACCTCCTCCACAGTTCGGGTCACTGGGGACTGGCAGTAAGTTAGTCGACTTGTTGCCAGACATGTCCGAGTACTCCATCGACGCTACAGGCCTCACTTCCTGGGCTGGTGCTGGTGCTGTGGCCCTCATGGCTCTGGGGGCCATCCTTGCCGTGCCTGTGGCCCCCATTATTCTCAGGTGAGTCACGGCCATAGTGCTGCTTAACACACCTGAAGCTTCGATTCGTCTTCATTATCAGTCTTGGGACAGTGGCAAGATGGACTCACTCTTATATCCAGTCGAGTTTAAGACAAGTTTTACACCGAAACATACAGGAACCCCCTTGATAAACCCTCCCATGTACCGCTTCTTCCCCTTGCCTCCATAACCTCCTCCTACGCCACTTCCCCCTACCCCAACGCCACTTCCCCCAACGCCACTTCCCCCTACCCCCAACGCCACTTCCCCCTACCCCCAACGCCACTGAAGGTGATCTGAGCGAACGGTTCGAAACTCCTCGGTCTCCACTCGTCACATTGAATCTGTGTCGGCGAGCATCCCAAGGTCATAGTTTTTCCTTCGGTAAAAGAAAATTTAATTAATATTCGCTTTATAAAATAATCTAAATAAATTATTAAATAAAACGTAGAGGGTATTGAGTAAGACGAGGATCAGTGAAAAATTTGATTGGAAAAGCAAAAGTAAACAGAATTAATATTAATAGGCTATTTGGGAGCGGACTGACCCTAACAGCCACTCAGTCAGCCAATTACTCGGCCACTCTGCCAGAAAAGCAGTTTATTAAGCTAAACAAAAATAACAGAGCGCCTTTCTGCTAGAGTAATCCCGTTATACAGGGACAAAAACCGCTATTTAGGTCCACTTCCGCTACAAATTACTACTATAGGCCGTGTCACAGCCGTCTCCTGTGCACACCTTCGCCATACATCGCCCACTGTCAGGACCTTGTCTGTGTGTGAGCGTCTCTGTTTCGTCTGTGTCTGTGAATGTGTCTTCTTTCGACTGTGTCTCTCTGAGTCTCTCCTTTTGTCTGTTTCTGTGAGTCACTCTTCTTTTGTCTGTCTGTGTGTGTATGTAAGACCTCTAAAACTTCTCATTTGTTCTTGTGCTTTGTTTGTCTGTTCTTGTCTGTTAAATAATGACTGTTGTCCGATTTATTTGCATCTTTAATGCCTTTGATATTTGGAGGGGAGAGAAAGAAGAGTGAGCGAGCGAGTTAGAGAGAGAGGGGGAAGGAGCCAAAGAAAGGAGAGAAAGAGAAAAAACGAGGCAGGGGAGAGAGCAAACTCGAGAGAAAGGGGTACAGAGAAAACTTGACAATCTACTTTCAACTCTCTAAACACGCCCGTTAAAAGCAAACTCCTGTATAAAGGCACTTGTTAATGGCAGAAGTAGAGCAAGCGTCATGCACTACAGGCACCGCAGCGATCATTAGTTATGCCCTATGGTTGTGGCGGCCGAGCATGTACTGTAGGACGCAGGCAAGCAACAGTGAGTGTTGCTTGATTGTACGAGGCAGGTGGGTTTTGCCTGAGGAGGGAGAGGGAGAGACAGGAGGAGGGAGGGACAAACAAAGTATTAACCAATCATCTGCCTGGCTAGTTTTACTACTGGCCAATCGTCAACTTGGCTAGTCATACTACTGGCCAATCACACTCCTGACCAATCATCAGTGACAGGTTCCTTGTATACAGTTTCACATTATTCATTGTTTACATGTTACGTCATCATATTTTAGCCAATCAGAGGCCTTTTACGTCATCATCTATATCACCTAAAGTCATCTTTCTAATTGGTCAGGAATTAAACATTGGGTATTATCTATTTAATTATATACTCATTAAGATTATTTTTCCTCTGATTATTTTGTACTGAATTATGGTATAATCTTTTATGGGTCTATAATATTTACATCTCCGACTTTTATGATTAAATGGAAAAAATAATTCTACAGTCACACTCTTCCCTTATCAGGTCTTACTCAGGTGGTCCCCAAGCCCTATTGGTGACCAGTCCTAACCATAGACTCCAGTCTTAATAGGCCCCAGTTTAAAATCCAACATCCCTAATGGCCACCAGTCTGAACAGGGCCCAGTCTTAATTACTCCCAGTCCAAATAGGTCCGTCTTGATAATTAATCCCAGTCCAAATAGGTACCATGATTTTAGTTAATGGCCACCAGCCTTAATAGGACCCAGTTATTAACAGACCTGTGCCAGTAACCAGGTGTGTGTCCTTTACAGACGGACGGGCACGAGCGGCTGGGGAGGAATACCTAGTCTGAGTAACTTGCTTAGCTGGTGGAGCTCCCCGGACCCCGCCGCTGAGGCCTGGGCTGACAACTACTACCAGGGCTACGAGAACACCCAGGACTACCTCACAGGGGCCTACTCTAATGATGAGGTGAGCTGAGGTGGGAGAGGGAAAGCGGAATGAGAGGGGGGGGGTATGGTGAAGTAGGGAGAAGCAAGAGGGGTGGAGGAGGAGGAGGAGGAGGGGTAAGGAGGAGCAGTAGAGGAGGATAATGAGCTAGGGAAGAAAGGGACGAGGGAAGGATACGGATGAACGGAAGGATAGGAGAAGAGGGGAAGTGATGGAGGAAGAGTAGAGGGGAGAGGATGGGGGTATATGGATGAAGGGCAAGAGAGGAAAGGGGGAGATGATTAAGAGAAAGAGGGACAGAGGTGTGGAAAAAACAAAATGGAGGGTAAAATGGGAATGAAAAAGCCAGTATAATAAAGTACAGGTATAAAGAAAAACAAATTAATTAATCAAAACCCTCTCTCCACGTTACACAGCAGCAATACGACGCCAGCGTGAGTGGTAGCGACGCTGGTGGTTACTACGCCGACAAGGCTCCACCACCAGCCTACCACAACACCATCCCTCCCAACTTTCACAACACCAACCCCCCTAACAACAATTATTACCCCGTACAACGACCACCAAGCCGCCGTCAGGGTTATAACAACAGGAAGACGTCGGATGGTTATGAATACGTCACCCTAGAGGAGTAAGTTATGGGGCAATTTGTTTGTTTTTTTATTTTGTTTGGGAGTTGTGAGTTTGTTTACTTTTGGTTGTAATTGATTTTGTTTACTTATAGTTGTGAATGAGGTTTGTTTACTTGTAGTTGTGAATGAGGTTTGTTTACTTGTAGTTAATTGTTTCTTTACTTGTTGTTGTGAATGTTTGTTTACTTGTAGTTGTGAATGAGGTTTGTTTACTTGTAGTTAATTGTTTCTTTACTTGTTGTTGTGAATAATGTTTGTTTATAGTCAGAGGAATAAGTTAGGTAGTAAACCCCACAACTAGGGAGGTGAGGGCGGTGCCGACAACACTGCCTCCTTACTCTGTCCCTAACGGCCATCACGCCCCTGGGGCCCACGTTCACATTGTATTGCATGGTGTCCGTTTTCACCCTTGGTTAGGTTAGGGTTTTTTGGTTAACCTCTGAGTTGAGCTTATTTTAGGAGGTTAATTTATGTTTGGTTAACGTTTGTGATGACTGTATGATGCTGACGAACACATTATGGCTGGTTGACTGCCTATCTAGCTGGTTGGTTGGCTGACTGACTGACTTACTGACTGAGCGGCTGGCTGGCTGACTGGTTGTGTATCCAACAATGGGAACATGGCTAGAGGGGCGGACAGGGAGGCGGCCTCTTCCTACCTCCGTTAACTCCAGGTTGGGTGTTGGTCGCTCATCCCGGTTGGGTTGTGATGATCTCCCCCGCGTTGATTGGCTGTTTTACTGACGTCCTGTGGTTTGATTGGCTATTTTGTTGATTTACTGAAGGTTGATTGGTTATTTTGATGACGTCCCTAGCGTTGTCTGTTGAGATGACGTCCTGCTTGCCAATGGTGTGTTTTGTCTGGTTAAATAAACATTTCTCTCTCTCTCTCTCTCTCTCTCTCTCTCTCTCTCTCTCTCTCTCTCTTCCGGGTGAAAATTGTCATTCTTACTTAGCCAAGAAGGTCATAATATATATTACTCAAGAGACCATCACACACACACACACACACGTACACGCTCCTCCACGTACACGCAGCCCTTATGCTCGTGTGCACATAGCCTAAATGAGCAACTTCGACAAACATGAACCAGTGAAAGTTTCAACACTATCGGTAAAAGGTTAGGTTAGGTTTAGGTACATTATTTTCTTAACTATAAAGTAGCAAACAAGTTACATTTATAATTTACTTACTTTATCTAACTTATAAATAGCGGTTCTTAAGTGATGGTGGTGGTAGTGACAAGTAGCAAGATGTTAGTGGTAACAAATAGTGTTAAGATATTGGTAGTTCAGCCCGGGGTAGTATTGGTACAGCTAGGAGCAGTGGTGGTACAGCCAGTAGTAGTGGTGATACAGCCGGTAGTAGTAGTAGTAGTAGTGGGGGTGGTGCAGCTGGTAGTGGTATAGCCGCGGGTGGTGGTAAGGTACAATCAGTCGTGTATACCGTAGTGTCCCGCTCTTTATAACTGTTACAACTACATCTTGTTACACTCGCGTTACTGCCTCTTACTGTGACGTCGTTGTTTACTAGCCTTACATCGTTTTGTTACTATGACGTCGTTGTTTGTGAATCTGACGTCATTGTTACCGATTTTGTTTGTGCCTGACGTCACTGTTTGTTGGTATGACTTTGTTTGCTAGTCTGACGTAATTTTTTGTTGGTATTACTCTTTTTGCAAGTATGGTGTCATTGTTTGTTGGTATGACTTTGTTTACTAGTCTGACGTCATTGTTTTCTAGGCTGACACAACTATTGTTTAGTTTGCCTTTAAAATTAATTAATAGAAAATTGTCGCATACTTTTCTTTTCTATTATGGATAACTTTTTTATTTTTAAAAGTTATTTTCTAGGTTTGACGGGTTTTCCTACTATAAATCCTACACCTAATGGAAACTGTTGTCGCTCTTTACCGAGTCCTTCTATATAATTTAAGGGGATGTACTGTATCTTTCATTAACGGGAGACTTTTTCTTCACGTAGCCGAGGTTATGTGAACCATAGCGGAGAAGGGTGACCGCAGGCTGTTGTCTCTTGGGTAATTACTGATATATCCCGTTGAAATTACTGGGTCCAGGAGGTTTAGGGGAGAAGGGGGAGGTGGAGAGATGAAAGAGGAGGAAAGTGGGAAAAGAGGAGGAGGGAGGAAAGCAAGGGAAGGAGAGGGCGAATGAAGAAGAGAGGAAAGTAGGAAAGGACTATGGAGGAAAGTAGGGACGGAAGAGGAAAGATGGAGGAAATTAGGGAAGGGGGAAGGGAGAGAAAAGTGGAGGAGGAGAGATGAAAGTAGTGGAGGAAAAGGAGAACGGAGGAAGTGAAGAGGAAAGGAGGGGAGAGGGAACTTGGGGAAGAGGACAGAGGAAGTAGGGGAGGGGGAAGTGATTGGAGAGAGGAAAAGGAGGAGGAAGAACAGAAATGGAGAAGGAAAACGGTAAGAAAGGGGAGAATAGGAGGAAGGGGAGGGAGTAGTGGAAAAGGGGGGTAGAATAGGAGGTGGGTGTGTGGTGACAGGTGAATAAGGTAGATGTTGCGGTAGAAGGGAGAGAAGGGAAGGGCCGGGCCAGGGGTTAAAGTGAAGGAGGGGCAGGATGAGGGAGGGGTGTAGGAGAAAGGAAGGGGAGGAGGGAGAAAGTGGCAGAGGAAAGGGAGGATGAGAAGGAGGGGGAGGAGAGAGATGATGATTAGCCCCCAGCTTATTTTACCTGTTCTACCGCTACCTGGGGAGATTAGGTTAGGTTCGGTTCGGTTCGGTTCGGTTAAGTCAGGTCAGGTTGAAGTAGGTTAGATTAAGTTAGGCTAGCGTTAGGATTCTCGTCAGGTGAAATACTATGTAAGCTGGCATTTCTAATCTCCAGGTGATTTAACCATTTTATTACCAATACTGAGGGGCAGCTTTCCCCCTAAGCGAGTCGACCAGTCTGTCCTTGGCGAGGATGATGTCATTGTTTACTGGTACACAGGGGAGTGATTCCTATGTAAGAAGAGATTGTCACAAACTTCATTGTGTGATATTGTAGGTAAACAGTCAACACCCACTAAACCTTCTGTTGATGCGTTAGCTAATGTTGGATGGATGTGTTGATGAGGAAGTCAACTCCCGATCTTGTTGATGGTTCATTCATTTTGTTCATCCTCTGTTGTTGTAACGTTATTAATATGCTTCCAACTACTAAGATCTTTAACCGCGTATTCTAGGTTACTTGACACACGCATCACTTCCAGAAGTATTACGGTAATTGATTTTCTTATAAAGTATAGTACATGTGATTTATTTATTTTATTGATTTATTTTATTATTTATTAGTTACTTGCTTTGCCCTGAAGTAAAGGTACCAGGAGTTCTTCTACTCCTTTATGGTGAATCCTGCCTCTTTTCACTCCACTTGACCTTATTAATCATTCTTCTTCATTCTTCTTGGTAGCATAAGAATCATAATACTTTCCTCTTGGCTCAATCTCAAGATTCATTCCTCTTGACAGCTCATTCCTCCTCCCAGCTCCCCCATTTATTCCTCCTCCCAGCCTCACCATTCATTCCTCCTCCCAGCTCTACCGTTTATTCCTCCTCCCAGCTCCACCGTTCACTCCTCCTCCCAGCTCCACCGTTCACTCCTCCTCCCAGCTCCACCGTTCACTCCTCCTCCCAGCCTCACCTTTCACTCCTCCTCCCAGCTCCACCATTCATTCCACTTCTCTTGACAGGATCAACCGTATCGGAGACGAGTCAGTACGGGTGCTGAGCGAACTGGTACAGGGTCACAGCATCGACGATATCTACGCCTATAGAGATGGCAGCAACAAGCTCAATCGTCGGCGCCTACCTGCTCAACAGCAGTACCAGTACCCCCAGCAGTACCAGCCAGAGCCAAGCTACCAACAGGCGAAGCAGCATTTCGAGGAGAGTTATGTAGAGGAGAACGCTCAACAACACTACGAGGACAATAATCCCGAAGGTCACCCATACAGGCAAACATTCAGCATGGTGGAAGGGGAAGACCAAGCTGGTGAACAAAACGATCCTCATCCCTACAGACACAAGTACAGTTTCGCGACGTCTGCCAGCGCGCTCGGACAAAGCAAAGATGATCAACCTCGCACGAATCAACAATTGCATAAAGTGACGGAATTCCCTTATGAGTTTCATAAAGAGGATTAGATTCCTTTAATAAGAGTGATTGTAAGGGTTCCTGAAGCTTTATATTTCGATTGATTTCTTTAGTTTAGTGTGTGCGCCTATAGAGTTCCATAAAGACGATTAGATTCCTTTAAACGGGGATCTGAAATGTCCCTGGAGCTATGGTTGTAATTATAGTTTAACATTTATTGTTTGTTTGTCGTAATCATAGAGAACTAAATGCACATTTTGGGATCGTGAAAGCTTCTACGTCTCTATATCAGACTAGTTTAGATTAGTTTTTGTTAATCATTTATGGTTATCATTCAGTGCGCTGAAACTAACGCTTTTTATCTTGTACTGCAACGTAAGTACCTACTAAATGGATTCAAAACCGAGTAATTGGTTACAGTTATATTATCGAAAGAAGGAAGAAGAAATACTTTGGTGAAACTTTTGTCATAAACTTGACTTTCCAGCCACTGTTCACAGAAGTAAAAATTACACAAGTTTACCCTTATTCACATTCATTTTCTCTTAACATCCGTCTTCAACAAAACATGTACTGTAGATATTCGTGTACGTACTTCTATGTGTATGTAATCACCATGTGCGTGTTTGTGTCAGTGTGCATCCGCTCTACCACCCCTAATAAAGTGGTAATTAAGGTGTCAGGGAGGAGATGTAGACGTGACGATCAGCCTGGCGACTACCGCTATTCCTCCCTCCCTCCCTCATACTCCTTTCCTTCTTCCTGATAGTCCTTCCTTCTTCCCCCTCTTACTCCTTACTTCATTGTTATTAGTTTTTGCTTCCAGCCCTTGTCATTTATTTATTTTTTATTCACAAGTTCATTCATTCTTGATTAATTGCTTATCATTCATCATGCTTTCTCTCCTTTGTTTTTTTTTCTGTACACTCTCTCGTGCAACAATTAGATCCGCAAGTCTGATGAATGTCTGATGAGGAACCATTAATCATAAACCGGGAAATCATAAAAAGTCTTATTATTATTAGGAGTAGTAGTTGTTGTAGTAGTATTGTAATATATAATTTTGCTTATTTTCTTAGTGCTTCTCAACGTAGTATTTATTAAATTAGGACTTCATGACGTAGTAATTTCTTATAGTTTTTCTCTGTGCAGTATTCTTAAAGGCAAGGCTTCTCGACACAATATTTCTTAAAGTAGTGCTTCTCGTCACAGTATATCCTGGTGTTTCTCAGAGCAGTACTGTACAGTATTGTGAAAGTTTGTTTCTTCGTGCTGATAAAGTAGTGTTCCCCAGTGCAGTATTATGTTAGTAGTGTTTCCCAGTGCACATTGTGATAAAGTAGCGTTAGTACAGTATTATGATAAAATAATTCTTTTCAGCGCAGTGTGTGTTAACCCCATGGAATTTGCCTGTATGATATTACTTTGAATTTTAGTTATGGGATCTAATAGTACTCCCTTAATTGTTAATTCTCTTATTCGTTGAATTTTAATTTATTCTGTTATTTAATTTATCAAATTAATATTTGTTAGTCTGCGTATTTGTTAATTTATTTATTATCAAAAAATTATATAAAATCGATCATTAATTTTACTAATCTATATAATTTTCTAGTTAATGTATTTAATGTATTGGACAATTTATTAAGTTGTTAAACTATTCATTTTGCTTATCAATTATATACACTCGATTATCAACACATCCATCCATTCATTCATTCATTCATTTAATGACATTTTTGTTCGTGTTATCATTCATCTTTATCATGAGTCAGTAGTCCTGTGGAGGTATGATATATTGGTTCACACTCAGGATGGGATGGAGAAAGGAAACTCACAATGTGCTCACTGTATACATATTGTATTGGATGTACAATGCAGCTTGTTGCTGGGTAGGTAGCATGGTAATAAGCGTTGAGTAGAGAGCTGGGTGGTGAGGGTGCCCAGAGGAGGGACACTCGGCTTGAGGGACGCCAAGGTCGCTGGCGGCAGCCGCCAGGCTGGCGCGGAGGAGATGGTGTTGCTTGAAGGTGGCACTGGGTAGAAAAGAGGGTGGTCACAGCGGTGTCAGGTCTTATAAGACGGGGGTAGGCGTGGGTAGATAGTTGACCCCCGCTCCGTGGGCGGCGCTGGAGGCGTAGGCTGGGGAATTCGAGAAGGTTCGGTGCTTGTAGGGGAGGAATCCACTACAGTCCCTCGCCACATCCCTGGCCTACCTGTGGTGCTGAACGATGACCCAGAGAGACTGAGGTCAGATGGTTCGTTGCTTACTGTACATCCTGTGAGACATTAAAACCACAGTTGGGGTGTGAAGCTTGTTAATCCCCTATAACAGCAAATTGACAAACTAGTTACTTTGAGTGGTAAAAGTAATATAGTTTTAGAAATTAACTATAATCACGTCAATGTGTTGGTTTTTGTTGTATGGATGATTTTTTTTTCCTGGGAGTCAACCCGGCCCTTCCATTATGACCATCTGAGCTATCGACCCGGCCCTTCCATATGACAGTGAGCCATCGACCCGGCCCTTCCAGAGGCAGTCTGAGCCATAGACCCGGCCTTTCGACACGACAGCCTGAGCCATCGACCCGGCCCTTCCACACAACAGCCTGAGCCATCGACCCGGCTCTTCCACACAACAGCCTGAGCCATCGACCCGGCCCTGTATGCGGGTAAGTGGCAGACGACAGAGTGGGTGTGTTGTTAAAGATGAATATTATGTCCCAAATGACATCAAAAGTTCCCTAAAAGTATCTTGACCGGGTGCTTCACTTACCACCTGATGGGAGACAATATTAACGCACCTCACCTTTTTTGGCCGCCGTCTTGTCTTGTCACAGTTCATCGATAATGTTCATCTACTGTTTATTAAGAACTTTTCTATCACTGGACGAAAGATGTGCGGTGTATTTTGTAAACTGTTCTGTAGAGATGAAGGCGAGTCCCGCAAACCTGACGGACCATTAGGGGCAGTGCGGACACAGTACACTGTATATATGCCACGGTTGGCACTGCACTTGACCGCTTTCATTTCCCCAACTAAAATCGGGTAACGATTCACAACTGGTCGACTAGGGGAGCCTCGGACGTGAAACAGCTCATCCACAGTGAGGGTAGTTAGGGAAAATAATTAGTCCATTTAATGTTGTATATCTCTTTGTTTATATTGTAATATTGTTTGAGATTTGTTATTATTAACAATGTAAGCATTTAAATATAACATTTTATATCGAAGTCTTCAAACAAGGCATTTTATGTTGAAGCATTTATGTAAGGCATTGTATAGTGAAGCATTCACATAGGAATTTATTTTAGATATTATACGGTAGTATGACTAAAAATTCAGGTAATAATATTATCATCTAGGCGACCTGTAATGTAATGGTCGGCAAGCTCGACTCGCAAGAGAGCGGATCCGGGTTCGATCCCCGGGCTGGGTTAAACTATGGGGCAAGTTAACACAGGGTGTGGTTGTTGTGTTGGCGACAGCTTCTACACCTTAAACACTGGGTCATGCAGCTCGTTAACTCAGGGTGTGGTTGTGGTGTTGGCGACAGCTTCTACACCTTAAACAAATTCACGCCTAGGTGGCCCTAGGGCCGTCCATCCTCGTTACACCTGAGGGGCAACCATTATTATTTATATTCTATAATTTAAACATTCATTATATATTGTGTATGTTACCAGCCTTTGTAGAAGACTGAGCATTATGGCATTTGTAGTTTCAAACATGTATTACAGTAATGTTTAGATTATCATTGTTTTTTGCGTATTTATTATTGCTTATATTTAATGTATTACACTATGAAAACATGCACTGTAGTGGATTGTGTATTATTTAGCGTGTTTGTTATTGAGTAGAAGTGTTAAGTGTATGTAAGAATGTTTGTTTGTCTCAACTAATTACATTGTTCTTGTGATAATTAGAGATTTATTACTGTTGGACTTTTGTGTAATTATTGTCCACTATATACAGTACTGTAGTCTCAAAGGACAATTTAGTAAAGAATAATATTTTCAACACTTGTCAAATTAGTAAACTTATTACAAAGCTGTTTACAAAATTACCTCATTTTGTCAGTTTGGCGTTGTTGCCAAAACTTACAATAAAATAACGAATATAGAAGATGAAAAGAACAGTCACTTTCATGTCTTAAATGTATCACGTATGTAATGTTATGTTTTTTTAATAAAAGTTTTTTCTCCAGAAAATACAAAGTCTATTTCTCTGTTCCATTATTAGTAAGCATGGATTGTCCAAATGGCAGGTGGTGGTAAAGGAAGTGGTGTTGATAAAACTTATTATTATTTGCTTATATCTGGGGTATAGTGTATAATCTTTACCAGGCCAAGATCTTAACTTACTTAATTCCTACTTTTTGCCGCGTGTAGGTTGCTGGACCATCAAAAGAAACCACCGACGTAGCAAACCATCATCAGGTGACCTAAGTCGTCATTTGAGCGGGAACCGTCGGCAAAATTTAGACCAATGTGCCGACGGTGGGGCCGGTGGGCCTCTGTATACCTAGTACCGCATGAATTTCGTATACAGCGGCACATCATCAAGCCGCTGTGCTCTTTTTACATTTTTGTGTTGAAGATCATACAATGAATGAAGCTGAATGATATTCACGTGATGTGCAATTTCGATGGAAAGTTCTAGACGTACATTTAAGCAAGGTAAGATAGTTATACTGAATTAAGGTAGGGTGAGGAGTGCAGCTACACGATGGAGCTGTGCTCTGCTGTAGAACAAGAGTGTGTATTTCGTTAAATAAGTCTATTGTGTGCACTATTTGATTAAGCAAGTGACTACTAAATTAGTTAAGAATCTTATGTTATAAACATTCATACGTTAGTGTCGTTTAATAACCGAGCCACGAATGTTTGTCTTTCAGTATATGAACGTCTGCTCTCGTATTCAGGTCCTGCTCGCTGTGTAGAAGTGACGCTACCCTTATTAGAGGTAGTCAAAAGAAAGACACTGTCTAACTCCATCTGGGAGCTGTGTTAGCAGAGCGGGTACCAGGGTACACCAGAGTGCGTGACCCCAAGCAGTGTCGACAGTATTGATGCCAGCCAACCACTATGTATTAAGTCTTCTTATATGTACATGGACGGGTTATAATGGTGGTAACAATATTAGTTTAGTACTGAAAGGCAGAGTAAGTAATATTAAGATTTGCTATGGATGTTAAGTGGATCATCTGTACCCACGACTGATAGGTGATGTTGAGCCATTCCTGTCCTAATACAGTATAATAGTGTGCGAATCAATTAACAGTGACCTATAGCAAAGGTGCTTAATGGCACTATAATAAATAGTACAATTGTGAGTGTTACTTAAAGGTGCTTGTAGTGACCACCATTCTCGTGTAGCTGTTGTAGAGTATTACCCCGTGAAAAATGGCAGGTTTGTGTTGAAGACTCGCGTTTGGTAGAGGCAACGAATAAATGTATTTAAGCCCGAATGCAGTACATTACATCTAATTCAGAAAGTAGCTACATTTCAAACTTTAAATTCACTACCACAGTCAAACAAATGTTGCCTCAGTCACCACAGCAACGACACGATGCATCTACCAATAAGTGGACAATCTCGTTTTTTTTCTATTTATGCAGAAATCTATATTACAAACCATTGTAGATAAACATCAACAGCTGGTACGCGCACCTGTTATATTAGCTTACATATTTTTCACTGTTTCTTAGAGAGCCAGTACATGCCGTCACGGGCGGATCCAGGAATACCAAAGGTGGGGGGGTCCAAGAAATTGTGGGTGGAGGAGGAACATGGGGATCACCCCGTGCCCACCCAGCTGGGGTTTTGGGGAGGGTGCTGGTGATATAATAGTACTGCATATTTTTATTTGTTATAGTTTACGACTCTTAATAAACCTGAAAATATAAACTATTCACAGTAATGGAAGCAATATGTAACTCAGACCATGGCACGTCTCTGTTACGCACTATTGGCAAGTATACTGGGCAAGCACTGGCTCCTGAATGTATTTGTGACGGATTGGGTGGTGTTCACCTTGTATTGGTGACTTGTGTATTTACCAATCTCGAATACGCATTTAGAAAAAAAATGTTTATCGAGGCACAACAACATTTCCACAAAGTTTTCGCCCTTTGGGTTGAATGTGTTTTAAGATACCGTAACTTTAAACCTGAAACAGGAGAATTCTGGGATGCAAAATAAATGCAGGACTACAATTGAAATTTACGGTCTGCTCTTTATTTAAGAAACAATACATCAAGGTTATATGATTTAGTTCCAATATTTGCTGCTTTTGAAAAACATGAATTTTTTACAATTCGTTCTGTTGCCATATTAATTGAACAAATAATAAAATAGCTAGGCAAGAACCAAGTACAAATACTAAGTGAATGAACTTCTTGGCTGCTCCACAACACAAATAAAAACACAAGGTTTTATGACGGACTGTTGATCTTTGTTGCCCAAATTGCAGAAATCCTTGGCTGAGAGCAGCGTCAGTAGCAAGCATCTTCAGTTGCAAGCATCAGGAGATCTTGAGAGAGGAGGCACTTTAACAGCTACACTGACCCTCACACTGACAGTTGCCATCTTCTCCACGACATTTGCAGTTCGCAGCACCTGATGATGGGCAGAGGAGTCATTAGCACAGGAGAGTTGGAAAAATTTAGAGAACACATTTAAAGTGTGAAACCGCAGGCTGCCAGTTCAGACTGCATCAATAAAACCCGCTAACTTACTGTGTCAATTTTTTTTGGTAAAAGAACAGTTGCTTAAAGACCACTTCGAACAATGCATGGTTTGTGAACATGTTCCATAAGGAATCCAATATTGCTCTATGTTAAAGTACATTAGACAACTGGCAGTATAGCAGATAAAAAAGGTCAGGACAAGGAAATCCATAAGAGGTGAAGTAACAACTAAAGTAATCCAACAGAGCCGAAAGAAATAGATGAAAAGGAAGACTTAAGAGCTGGACATTAGCAGAAAAACTTGTGCGTACAACTGTGAACAAGGATCTTGTTTGTGCCTCTACAAATTGCAAGTGACAACAGTTAAACCCGGCAGATAACCAGAGCCGACAGGCAGCTTCTAACACCATAAAAATTTTGCAACGCAACCCAAATCTTAACGGAGACTTCATAATATCTGATGGGGGCAAGAAATCTACGAAAAACCTTTACACAGTCAGATGTTAATGTGGTGTGACGTCTCCAAATCTTGGACAATGGGACTTTATTTCTTTGAGAATGGGAGTGAGGAAACCTTGGCCGTGATTGGTTCTGTGAAATGATGAGAGCATTTTTCATTCTTGTATTACGTCGCCACAGATCAAAGTTCAATGACATTTTCTTCAACAGAATGGTGCAACTTGTTCACAATCAATGTAATAAAACAATTATTGCAAGATATTTCTAAATCATAATTTTTTGTGGGGTGTCTTGATGTCCAAATTTCAAGTGAATGGGCCAACAAGATTACCTAAAATGCAACACCCCATCAGAGGTGACATAATCCATTTTAAAGGGAGTTATCTGACAACAGTTATTTTCAAGATATGAAGAAATTTAAATCCCACCAATACCTGTACTTCCATATTACGCTTATTTAAATGTCTGATATCTTTTCTTTAGTCTTAATAAAAAAATAGCAAAACAAATGTGATGGAGAGAAGAGAGCCGTTTGCTCTGAAGATGGAAGACGGTGTAGAGGGAAGGTAAAGTTAGGAAGTGGGAAATAAAGTGGGAGATTTAATAGCAGGTGAGCTATCCACCTTGTTCACACTAGTGCATATGGAGTTCTCAGAAGAGAGTATTAGAACTACAGTGCATTGTTTATGGTGTATAATGAGCTCTCAGAAGTATAGACGAACAAAAAATCTCCCTTTAATCATTGAGGCCGATAGCCACTAAAGGAACAATACCAACTGGTGAGTGTGACAGCGGTGGACCATCTATACGTGGAAATTAATTCTTACTTTTTTTTTTTTTTTTTTTTTACAAATTATGAATTAATTTTCACTTATGATGGTTCATCGTTGTCACACTCATCAGGCAGTATTGTTCATTTAGTGGCCATCGGCCTCAATGAATAAAGGGAGATATTTTGTTCGTTCATACTTCTGAGAGCTCATTATACACCATATATAATGTACAGTAGTTCTTATACTCTCTTCTGAGAACTCCATATGCACTAGTGTTAACTGTTTTTCCTCAAAAACGGATACAGTAGGTTGCTTGCGTCCTCTTTTGTGAACACAGAGTAAAAGAAAGTATTTCACACTGCGTCTAATGCTCATGTAAGTCCGCGTAGCTACCTTCTTCCAGTCTCGGTGGGCCTTTCCTAATACCCGGTGTAGGTTCTCAGAAGTCCCCTCACTAACGCTAGATATAGTTGGTAATAACATTAAGAGTTATGACTAACGGTAGATACAGATGTAAATCTCATTATTACTACTGCAATAGTTGTAAATAAAATTAATGCTGGGTGATACAATACGATGTGACGGTAAGAGACTCCGTTAGGTAGTCGTAATACATTGTAAGGCAACACAAAATATGATGGTACAGTACTTACAGTGCTCCTTTTTTGCGTCACTTTCCCCGGCACACTTGCAGCCGCCCTGGTGTTCGGAGCAACACTTGCCATCTTTGCAACACTCAGAGTTGCCACACTTGCATTTGCCTAATGAGAAAAAACGTTTTATGGTGCATGTGGACAGAAATGGGACATTAATATAACAATCGGAATTTTAAAAATTGCTTAGATATATTTTTGGGCCTTCTGGTAGGTTGGTTACATTACTAAAGGAATTAGTCTACCAATTGCCTTTTAAAGACTGGGAAGCTTGTTACAGCTCGCATCAAAAGTTAAGTAAGCGAGAACCTCTTACGCCAGTCTTTAATGAACTATTGATTTCACTTTTAACTATTTTTGCGTGAGGATTTAGGTGTACAGTACTGTTCTATGTAAACTTAGAAGTTCGGTTTAGTTATGAAGAACCTCGTTGGGGTCAAATAAATAAATTACACTTTACACTGTACAACAGGCAAGATCAAATTTTATACTACCGGTACATATTTTCTCCCCTTCTCTCAAAACGCGACCAACACGCCAACTTGGAATTGTTTTACAATATTTAGTTACTCAGAAGTCGACAGATGTAATGTAGTGGCCTAGTAGCCTTAAAACCGCGACATGAAGGGATTAATAGCATTTCGAGTTTTACCGCTTTTCCCACACTGAACTGAAGCTAATACAGACATAAGTTGAGCAACATAATAATGGTTATGTGAGGTAACAGATCAGAAGCTTTCAAAAAGACAGATAAAATGATGAGGAGTGGAGATTCACCAAAACACGAAGAAATGAAAAAAAAATAATGTACAGTATTTGCGCAGATCAGTACGGTGGTCGATTTTAACTTGTCGCCAATATTAGCCTTTTTTTAAGTCATGTCGTTTAAGAATTATTGTATCGTGGAAGTTAAATTTTAGATTTTATCTTTTTCTTCATCAAAGTCATGGAACCTTCCTTTAAAGCAGGTCAAACAAATCCGTCACACCTAACTTAACGATTATTTAGCTAGTTCGAGTCGGATTTAAGGTTCAGTACCTGTTATTGCAGGATTCGCAGCCACAAACGTGAAAATTTTATGCACAGGTAACTGCTCTTCACAATTATAACAAACACTTTGAAAGTGAAGAGAGGAAACGGGATCTAGTGAGAAGAGAGAATGTGTGTACAGTATGTGACGTTAGTGAGAACTATTGAGCGATCTCACCGGTACAGCAGCGGCAGCACGAGAGGCCTAGAAGTGTCATCCTGTAGTGATCGTACCACACCTCCATCACCATGTTCTAGTTCTACCACAATATATTACTGTATGTTCATTTCATGTATGTATAATGCAAAATCGATAACTATTCTTCCCTCAAGTCCACGGTATAAATTGACTACTGAGAATTAAAATATACTTGAAATTTACGAAAACAGTACATTACTCTCACCTTCGCAACAGGGATCAGGCATGGTGGTAAGAAGTGTGGTATTGACGGCTGGGAAGCAGAAAAGCTGAAGTCTTGGCGCTGCTCCTTCCGTGTTGGCTTCCAGAGATGTTCTGACCGGCACTGGATCGGATGACTGGATGCTGCCGTCTATCCTCCTGCTGCTACCAAGATCGCCATATTGCGTGCCGGCACCTGTTGATTAAAAAACAAAGCATAATCGAGTGCATTTCATACTAAATATCATTATAAAACTAACCTTGCAGTTTAAAACCAAACCATACAACATATTGTATTATCGTCCATGCTTCGCCTTTTTGTTCATACAATATATTGGCCAGAAATTTCCCAAGAGTGTGACTCACAGGGCTGCCAGACGCCAGGACTACGTGTCATAGAGTAAATAAAATTTCGTTTATTTAAATACTATACTGTTTTAGTGATGGTAAATATCTCGTTTTACTATTCTAATACTCAAACAACTTATTTAACCATGTGGTCATGCTGTATAGTTCTGTCATTATCCTAGACAACGTGCACATTATGCACATCAACCTGTGTCATGTCACGAGTGTATTATTGTGCGAGTGAAATTAATCTTTAATTCTACTTGGGGGAACCTGGAGCGATTTTCAAAACTACGTTCTACGTATAATCCCTTAAAGAGGTGAAGTAGCTTTAGTTTATTAGAATAAATGCTCGATGCATCCACCTCTCATCCCACCAGTTGCCAACAGCACGTAACAGAGAGCCAGTAAATGCCCATAGTACCTAATAGAGACGTGACCGACCTCCCAAGCGGCTAACAGGCCGATTAGTGGGGAAGAGGATAAAATGAAATAAAGAACACTAAAGTTAAATAATTGCTATATCTTGCAACATTAATAAAAAAGGAAAGAAGTCCTCCCATACAAAGTTTCATTTTCTTTTATATCGACAGAGAAAATGAACGTAAATGAAGAGTTTTATGAATTATTATTTTTTTTTTTAATGTGGGACTTAAATGACTTTGAACAAGGGCAGAGCTAAGAGGGTCCTGGGGGTCCGGATCCCCCTTTTTATCAGAAAATCATAATACTTTTTCTTTAATGCAGTACTAGGCATTTTTGTGTAGTAAAAGTAATTACTATTGACCTCAGAATATCTCCTAATATCAAGTGCACGTGGCTTCAAAATGGCCTCAAAATGCCCATGATATTGGTCAGATTAAAAAAAATAATTATCCATCCCCCCTCCAAAAAAATCAACTTTTTGGACCCCCATTTTGATATTCCTGGATCCGCCCGTGATGAATGAGCTTAAAGGTGTTACCGTAGTATTAAAGACACCAACAGGGTATCATTTTAATTAAAGAGCCAATAACAATAGTAATAGTAATTATAATAAGGACTTTTGCGAGGGAAACGTCATAGAAGAAAAGTGTCTTAGAATTGTCTGAACTATTGAGTGCAAAGATAAAATTATCGAGATTCGGTTGGAGAGAAGAAAATAACGCTCTAAACGCACCAAACTTAGAATGAGTTCAAGGGGCGAGCGACATGATCGGTTATTTACCGGTTACTTAAATTCCATAATATAAAAATTACCCGATCTTCTTCAAACACACTTTCTCCACACTCTCCCTTCCTATACGTTACCCCTGGATTCTATAAGATAATTTGCCTAATTGATGGTAGAAAGATAAGTATAGTTGAGAATTTTTTCGAAATAATATTGAAAAAAGGGGAATGTGCCCGTCAAATTTTCATCAGGAATTTCTACAATTCGATACAATGTTAAACAAGTTAAGACTCCAGTTATGAATACATCTGCGCCATTCCCGCCCCCCTTCCCCCACCCACCCCCCCTTCTTCCACGGCCCCTCCATCCACCCCTTTCTCTCCGGCTCCGTCCCGCCTTCTCCCCTCCCTTCCACCCCTGCCTCTTCTCTCCCCTCCCCCTTCCTTCACAGCCCCACTCCCTCCCTTATGTGTGGTTAAATCATGTGTGTGGTTGAATCCTGCCTCTTGAGTGGTTGGTTGAATCGTGCCTCCGGTCATGCAAATCTATGAGTGTCTAGAATCCTAAATAGTGTGGAATGTAACGTTGAATCCTGCCTCTCATAAAATGTATAATCTTTTTATTAATTTTACCTAAAATATCGGGTTGTAGGACGTGTCTGTCTCGATTAGTGACTTTTAAACGTAATCAACATTAGGTCTCTGACGGAAAGCACCTGCAGGATGTTTACATTTGAGTCAGGCCCAGCGTATGACTTTTTATTGCTGATTTTGTAAACTTGCACCTATGCTACATACAGTGCCTGACTCAGTTTGGTCAAAGCACAGCACATCTTGCATATTACGCTTGGCAGAATAGAGAAATCTATCTCTTCTTTTCAGTTTCTAATTGTTGATGACTAGTGTATGTATTAGAATACTCGCTTAAAGAGTAAATCGATAGCTAATAGTTAAACAACGCAAATAAGTCAATAAAACTAGTATACGTCTGGCACCAAATTTGTGATTTTTGACATCTAGCAAAACTACTAGACAGCAAAAAAAATAAAAAATATCTGGCAATTTTTCAGTTGTCATAGCTATTACAGGGATATTTTGAGATAATCGTGTTAATATCTTACTGTTTATGTATTATGTTGACTTTACAATGTGTTTATTGGGGGGTTCAACAACATAGGTCTTTAATCGCGTATTCTTGATTAATACTACATTAATCATCAACAATTAGATATTAAGATATACGTCTCAGGGTCTATTGTAGATGAATATGTCAAAGTAAAATCCACGATGATTCCTATTTTCGATGGTGTTCTTACTTTTCATGTAACTTTAAAATACGTAAATAACAAACTTTTACTAAAAGTTAATAAAAAACTTTGGACACAATTATCCTCAGACATGACATGAATGTTTGAAATTCATCGGCTTTGCGCCAAAGTGGTATGATGTGACAACCATAATTGTATTGTAATTAACATTCACAAACTTCATCTTTCTTAATACATCGTTCAGTATTAATAGCTAAGTCACTGGTAAACTACAAAGTACTGTTATTGGGGCACGGATAGTTTACAAATCTTAGGTCAAAAGTGGGAGGGCATGTAATTCCACTCCCCATAACTATTATTGTAATAGTAAGTATTGTTATGTGTAGCGAACAGGAACAGGTGTGAAGCAAGGACAAGTGCTACTTGAGGGCGCCGCACACCATATATAAAGATCATCTGTGTGAACGGAATGTTACTATCATAGGGAATACGGTGAATTATTATAATCACTAGCAGTAAACGCTTATTTTTGTTTATTTATTTGTTTACGGGGAATAGCCCACCCGGGCACAGGTCATCGACCCACAACGGGGCCTGGGGGGCAAAATTATAAGATAATAAATAAATTAAAAGTAGAAGAGAAAAGGACTATATTAATCTACACCACGAAGATGCTGGAAAACCAGCTTCTTGGAGTGAGACAGACTGTAAGAGTATGGAAACAGAGAAGAAGGCAGAGCGTTCCACAGTTTAGCTTTTTTTTTTTTAGTTTAACAAATTTATTGGCAGAGCTTGTAGTACAGTTTGCCTAGTCTGAGTAATTCAGTCAGGTCTTGACACTGAGGGTGGTATCACTTCTCACTGTCACGCAGGACAGAGGTTCACACACAAAGAAATACATCATATTCATTAACAACTATAAATGTATATAGGTCAGGTTCATATGGATAATGTCACTGTTCACTGCCATGCAGGACAGATAGTTCGTACACAAAGAGTTGCATCATATTCATTGACAGTACATATACATATATGTAAACACACACACACACACACATATACATACATATCCGTATATACATACACATATACATGTACACGTACATATACATGCACACACGCACACATACATACATATACGTCGGTCAGATTCATGTGGGTAATGTCACTTTTCACTGCCATACAGGACAGAGGTTCGTACACAAAGAATGCATCATATTCATTGACACTATATATAGGTCAGATTCATGTGGGTAATGCCACTGTTCACTGCCACGCAGGACAGAGGTTCGTACACAAAGAAGGAAATACATCACATTCACCAGCAGCATATATAGGTCAGTGGATCACATACATTGGAGTCATATTCTAATTGAAGACTAATCAGTGTGGGCTAGCTGTTGTACTGACCACGGTCGTACAAGTTAATTGACGTAAAATTAGACGATTCATATTAAGCTCAGTAGCCCATAAAACATGTAGCTATAACTTCTTTATTGAGTCCCTCATTCATTCTCAATTTCAAATCTCTGAACACGATATGAGGTATTAATAAATATCAATCTCTGAGGTACATGAGAGAAAACGAAAGACTCATGAGTACTGAAACCGTGATAAAACGATTGTCTCGACTAGGGGACTCAATAACTTTTACTTTTATCCTCTTCGCCACTGATCGGCTTGTTCGCCGCTTGGGCGACCGGTCACGCCTCTGATTACTTTTCCTTTTCATTTATCTTCTAAGAAGTTATAGCTACATGTTTTATGAGATTTTGAGCGTAATATGTACTTCGTTCATGGTGTCAGGGACATATTTTTCATACAGCACGCTCCGCCAACATAAGTATGAAGAACCCATTAATGCCATTCCTCCTTGGCTGAATATATCATTTCCTATTAATTACACTCCTGTTGGTAGTAAGCAAATGTTAAACACCGATGTGATGAGATGTGTCACACTAGAAACTATTGGTAGACACTGCTGCCATATGGCATCACGAAAATTGTGACGAAGTCCCAGGTTGCTGATCTGACTTTCTGCTTCATTTACACACAATTGCAGGGTCTCAATTGTTTCTCTTACCATTGACAACACAACATACATATAGTATATCGTTTCTCACTTTTGATCTTTTTTCATTTTTGTATATATAGGTCTTTATTATTAAAATTATTATTATTATTACAGTTACTGTATTATCATCATTATTTCATTATTTTATTTTTGTTTGTTTTATCATAAATTTTATTTATTATGAATTATTATGACTATTATTTATTATTATTATTATTATTATTATTATTATTATTATTATTATTATTATTATTATTATTATTATTACATTTTCGCCCCCCAGGCCTCGATGTGGGTCAGTGACCTGTGTCCGGGTGGGCTAATCCCCGTAAAAAAAAAATTAACAGACACATAGAGAGTATTAAATCAAGTGAATGTTTTACTTTTACTGATGGTTCTGTGCAGACAAACGCAGGTAGAACAGGCGGTGCAATTGTAATATATAAAGAAAAAAGAGATGATCGTGGCAAACAAGCAAAGGCTGAACAATTGGGCCAGCACAACACAAACTGAACTAACTGGAATCTACTTAGCTACAGACTACCTTTAAGAAAATGGAGGTGGGGTGATATTCTGTGACTCTCAAAGTGCTTTGAAATCAATGAACAGCCCGTCAGGTTCTATGTCTAAAGTTGTATGTGATATTAAAAGAAATGTGACAACTGCCAATGAGAACAACTGTCGTATCGAATTTGTGTGGATTCCGTCCCATGTTGGAATTAGGTATCATGACCGTGCTGATAGACTGGCCAATGAGGCATGTAAGAAAGAAAATGTTGACCGTGACCGTGGCCTGTCCAATGCTGTACTTAAAAACGTTCAAGTCAGAATCATGAACTCTGATCTAGAAGAACTGAGAAATGCAGAGAGACCTGGCAGTTGTAGCATTAGTAAATATGACAAATTTTGTGACGAGAGGTACCGGTATGGCCAGCAGGACAGAACCAGACAATGTGATGTAGTCGTGGCCAGAATTAGGCTAGGATACAGACACATTTGACAAGTTAGTAACGCTGTACCCATACCGGAACACTCAGCATGTAAACTTTGTGATGAACCTTTAAAGCATTCACTTGAACACTATATTATTGAATGTGACACTGTCAAAGACTTCAGGCCACCTGGCTTATTGTATCATGAACTTTGTAATTACTACATTGAATCGGGGGTGCTTGGGGACATTCTTGCTGTTTATCCCAAATTTGCTAGCCCACACTGATTAGTCTTCAATTAGAATATGACGTCCAATGTATATGAACCACTGTCTTGCATGGCAGCGAACAGTGACATCACCCACATGACTCTGACCTATATATACTGCTGATGAATATGATGCATTTCTTTGTGTACGAACCTCTGTCCTGCATGGCAGTGAACAGTGACATTACCCACATGAATCTGACCTATATATATATACTGTCAATGAATATGATGTATTTCTCTGTGTACGAACCTCTGTCCTGCATGGCAGTGAACAGTGACATCACCCACATGAATCTGATAAATGTATACCTGTATATAGTACTTGCCAAAAGTGCGTAACAGAGATGTGACCGATCGCCCAAGCAGCTATCTACAGTAGACGGTCCGTCCCTCCTAACGATCTTCAGGAGTGAAGTGCTTCCCCATCTGGAGTACTGTCACCCCATCTGGTCCCCGAGATATGCTAGGGACTCTCAGTTGGTTGAAAATGTTCAAAGGAGGGCCACCAGACTGGTGCCTGCACTTCGGCACCTCAGCTACCCTGAGAGATTGGAGCGCCTGAACTTGCCTAGCTTATACTACAGACGGGCAAGGGGGGACCTAGTTGAGGTGTATAAGCATCTCAGGGGGCACTACTCAGTTGAGTGTCTATGGAGCTGGCGGACGCTCGCACAAGGGGTCACAGCTCAAGATTGAAGAAGCCGCAAGTCCAGAAAACCGTGAGGGTAAACTTTTTCGGAGTGAGGGTTGTAAACTCTTGGAACAATCTACCAGAGAGTGTTGTGACGGCACCGAGTGTGAGCTCTTTCAAGACCAGACTTGACCAACACTGGAGCGGGTTCAGGTACATTCAGGAGCCGGTGCATGCCCAGTATTTGCCAACAGTGCGTGACAGAGACGTGACCGATCGCCCGGGCGGTTAGCGAGCCGATCTTTTGGTGAAGAATATAAATGAAAAGAGACGTGACCGATCGCCCAAGCGGCTAACAAGCCGATCAGTGGCGAAGAGGATAAACGTAAAAAAGTAAAAGAACATTGCTCGTTAAAGTACCTGTAAAAGAGAGAGAGAGAAGCAACATTGCGGCGAAGAGAAAGGGAAGAGAGATTATCAACTAAAGGGGAGAGGTTATAAGACGAAATGCCTTTGATTCTATCCTATCTAACAGTTGGACAGATGAGCCACCCAGATATGAGAGCCTGTACTCCAAGTTAGGACAAATGAATTCCTTATTAACTTGAAGCAACTGCCCAGGACTGAAGTAACTATGGCATCTGTACAGTATTCCCAGCTTTCGGGAGGCAGCTTTAACAATGTTGTGGATGTGTGGCTTCCATGACCTTTAGAATTTATCAGAATGATTGCATCCTGTGAAATGTGATTGGTGAGAGTTGCCGTAAAAACGAGTAATATCTCATTTGGGTGCAGTTGCTTAACCTCAGTGTTGTTACGGTTGAATAGTGTGTTTATAATTGTAAAAGAAAAAAAAAAGACTGGTCCGTGAATATGTTATGTAACGCAGAAAGTTGTGGGCACATATGAGAGGGAACCATCGGGGAAGTTGGGCACTACGACCAATGAACGACGACCACAAACCAAACAAACTCCAGCAGGTGTAGGAGACGGTCAGTGAGCAAGGACGCTGTTAAGTACGTTTATTGTTTCTGTATTTTATCTTATTTCTATCGAATATGAACCTTACTAATTGTAAAAGTAGTTGGATGAAGGACGCCTTTATCATGAAACGCTCATATATAACGACTTTGAGCTGTTTGTGATGGAAATAAAGTATGAAATGTGGACACGTGTGGGCGTGGCGTCACAACTGTTGCTTCTCTCTTGAGGCTGCCACTTAGGAACTTAAGTTTCCTGTCCCCGTCTGCATAATAACGTCCCCTGAAACTCAATTATATTGTTTCTATGTAAAATTCAAGAATCCAGGCTGTGGAATTTAAGAGAATGTAGGTCACCGAGTGAAGCATTTTTAAGAAGGAAAAAAAAGTTTATTGTGGAGGTAGGTGGCAGCTGTGGAAGTGTTAAAGTGTTACAGCAGTTTTATATTTAGCTGTTGCCTCTCACCTGCTACTTCCGGGACTCGCTTCATCTCTCATATTTTTGGAAAAGCTGTGGAAATATCTGCTACAAAACTAGAAATACAACAACTTTCTGTAGAAGAAGTTTAGGTAACCTTTATAAGATGGACTAAACTTTAATAGGTTTTAAGATTTTGTTTCATGAATTTACTGTATCATATTTGAGAAGGTAAAATGGGTAAATTTGTATTATTGTATTACCATGGAATTTTTGGGATTGCCTAAGAACACTGCCACCTGAGGAATTGTTCAATTTTGTAAATTTTTCCCCACATGTTCCTATCATTATATTAAGTATTTCGGTAATACTGCAGTAAACAGCAACCACAGAATTCCGGAAATTCACTTCACCCAATCGATAGAACTCTTTTTTCTGTGATAATTTTCTTATATTACACTTCTATCGCAAAATGATAAGAAGGAAGTAATTGAATTTTAAGAAGAATAAGATCAGAGTACCTGCTGCCCCTACACTGCTGCTCAAATTGTGTGGGGAGTAAGGTAAGAAGTAGCTTTTTTTCGTTATCCACCCATCTCCTTTTTTCACATGAAAAATGTTTTTTTTATAGTTTTCTTGCTGTTTTAGATGATTCCCACATTTTTATCTTAAGGGCGAATCTTTTTTTTTTGTTAGGTTAGCTCAGGTTAGGTTAGGACCTAACCTAACTTAACTAAAAAAATAAGTGATTCGCCCCTAAGATAAAAATGTGGGAATCATCTAAAATAGCAAGAAAACTATAACCAAAACATATTTTTCATGTGAAAAAAGGAGATGGGTGGATAACGAAAAATAACCAGAAATACTGTAACGTCTCTTTATATTCTCGTGGAGGCTGACTACGCAACTCATGTTTATTGCATAGCGTTTGGGTTCGCCCTCGGTTAGGGCCACTGGGTGTCTGGGGGGCTCCGGGTTAGGTATGGTTTAGTTTGGTTATATTGTATAAGTTAGGAAGCACAGAGTGCCGGGAATTCAGAGCACCTAATTGTAAGAACTATTACAGGTATTTCTACAATTTTTTCGTAATGTGTAATGTGTTGTTCTGATGATTTCTTGTTGCGGTTCGGACAATTTTTGAATGCGCTTCTACCACAAATCACTCGTCTTGGCTCTCCCCCACCCAGAACCCCAAATTCCCATGCTTCCCCATTATTGTTAGGGGGTGGGGGGGTAAATCCAAAACGAGTGATTTCCGATAAAAACGAATGGCAGATATGAACCAGTCGCATGAAAAACCATCAGAAAAACACATTCTTTTTTACAGATTCTTTGGTTGCTGTAATCTGCAATTGTACCAGTATTTTAAGGTAATTCTTTGGATCTTGACTGTTGCTAGTTTTGCTGACAATTTGGGTATCATTAAGCTCAATATATGATGCTTAATGCAAGGAAGATAAGTCTTTTTGGTATTACTTTAGGCTCGGTCTTCTGGGGAATTTTAGGAATTTAACTATTGGAATCAGTAGTTTAGACATTTCGAAGATACTTTTCTTCTTTGACGTTTTCCTCGCAAGCGGCTTATGTATGCGGGGAGGAGCGCAGCCCCACCCAGTTAAGAAGTTAGATCAGGTTATTTGCGAGGGAAATGTCATAGAATAAAATTGTCTTAGAATTGTCTAAATTATTGATTTTTGATAAAATTTTTAGGTAAAATTTTTGTTTCACACAACCATGGAATCTTAAGAATTTTATCTTGGCAATTAATAGTTTAGACAATTCTAAGACACTTTTCTGCTATGACGTTTCCTTCGCAAATGGGCTAAAAATTATCTATCCTAACCTGACCTCATCTCACCTCTTTGGACCACCCTCCCCGGTATACCTGTATATAAGTTAGGTGAATTTTTCTTTTTGCACCGGTCTTTCTATCACTGTTATTAATATGTATTTTGTAATGTTTAGACATTTCTAAAACACTTTTTTTCTATGATATTAACACCAGAAATTAAGGATAAACGATATATTAATTTTTCAATATTATTACTTTTGCTCAGTCACAAGTGTCGCCATGTCTTGTTAACTTATGGTGTAGATGGTCTGACACCCGCTCAAGCATAGCTTCAAACCTCTGTATTCGCTTCTTAAGCGTCTACAGTGCATGTGGTGTAGGAGTTTCTTATTGGCTATATCGATAGGAAACTTATTATTGAGCAACAGTTTTTTGTCTTAGCCGTTGAATAATGCGTAGGTGAGTTGCGATCGGAGATATTAATTTTCGGTACCAGATATGGCTGAACAGGAGGGAGAGATGTGCCGACATTGTGATAGAGATTATTTTACGTCAATTGCCGATTTTCATTGGTAAAATAATGAGGAAATTTATTTGTTTCATTTTTTTTAGAAAACATGGCAGTGTACACTGTGTGAAGAACAACACATTTGGCGGTGTCACCAGTGTCGCCTTCTGCCCCCCTGCTATCGGTTAGGTTAGATGATTCGCTTTTGTTTTATCCCCAACCCAAAAACCCTGATTTCCCAGGCTCTCCCCCCATTATTGTTTGGGGGGATCTCAAAAACTAGTGATTTCTTGCAGAAATTAATATAAAATTCGTTCGAAACTCCTCAAATGTCATCAGAAAAGCATATTTTAATATCCAAACAAAGACTGGTGCATAAGTAAAAATTGACCATAAATTATTTGCGAGGGAAATGTCCTAGACAAAAAATGTCTTGGAATTGTCTCAACTATTGATTGCAAAGATGAAATTCTTAAGATTCTATGGTTGTGTGAAAATAAAACAATACCAATTTCTAATATTCCCGTGTTGTCTAAAGGTAAAACTTTAATGTCTTTTTTTGTGGAAATGCTAAAAAAAAAATTAAATTCCAAGTTGAAAATCACGAAGGGATAATATTTCTTTGGACTAATATATGACTCGTGACCGTCACTGGTTTGGTAATTATGGTGGGTGTTTTTAGACAGTTTTGTATGCTGAATACTTTTACTTCTATTCATTTTTTGGGGGCAAATGCTTAGTTTTCTAGATATAGGTGTGTTAAGATAGCATTCTTACATTTTCTATCAGCTGTGATATGTCAGATGTAAACAATGTGCCATTATGGCAAATACAGTAACCCCTCGTTTAACGAACGCCTTGGTTAACGAAATTTCGGTTAACGAACTGCCTTCCATAAGGATCTTCAATTCGGTTAACGAACAAAAATTCGGTTTACGAATTTCTTACGAACCGACCTCAACATGTTTTCGCTTGCACTGACCGGGCAACCAGCTTTAGTATCAGTCCGCCAATACATTAATCGGTTCTAGGGCTTAAATTCCTTACTGTTTTAGTAAATATCAAGAAGTTTATACTATTCAATAATTTTAAAAGTTTAATATTCAATTTTTTAGTCATTTTAACAATTATTGAACATAATTGAAGGTAAAGTGACTAGTTTAATGCGCGGCATCCAGCCTCTTAACACAGCAAACAGGCGTTAGTCTCTCTCTGTTTTCACTGGAGGTAACATCTTGCTTGAGACTCTCTTCAACTAAATGCTTTTTTCTGTGTTTCCAAGCAAATTATTGGTCATTTTGAAATATATTTTACATATTGACAATATATAATGCAGTGCAGTGTTGATTTAAAGAAAATAATCTTGAAATACACCAAGAGAACTAAAATTTTATGGGTGAAATGGCGCCATGGGGTGACTTCTCTTCCACCCCAATGCCTTCTCTTCTTCCTTCTCCTCCACCCCCATTCTAAATCCCATCATCATCATCATCCAGGAGCCTTCTACATACACACCTCAAAGTAAGTGAACTTTTCTTCCATTTTTGTTGAATTTAGGAAATTTCCGGTGAGCTGGAACCAATTACCCAAAAACCCATTGAAACAATGGTTTCGGTTAACGAACTTTTCGGTTAACGAACGACCTTCTGGAACGGATTGAGTTCGTTAACCGAGGGGTCACTGTATACAAGACTTGGCCGTCAGCTCTTTGCCACATGTATCAACACGCATGTGAGGATATTACATATGTGGGCAACTGTATATCCATATGTGTGAACCTTGGCCTGGTATAAAAAAAGTTGGAGGGTAAAAAGTAAAACTTGTACAGTAGATGCAAATTTTTTTCTTGAAAAGTCAGAATAAATGAAGATGACTTGTATGTGTAGCTAGGGATCAAATTTTCTACCAAATGAGTAGTTTAACCCATTGCTTTTCCACAGGTAATTGAAACAAGATGGGATCTGGTGAAGGGACTGGCGAGGGTAACGGGGCTGGTAGTGGAGGGTCGACGGAAGGTGGCTCCGGGGGCATTCTGTGGCAGATCATATGGTTGGTGCTATTGATCTTGGCTGCCATATGGGTAGCTGGCTTCTGCGCCTGGTGGTACATCATGCTCGTTCCGTTCACCGTGTGTATTCCTCCACTAGCAGTAAGTCAAGACCCTCCTTGAATACTTGTCTTATTTATTTTCTCTCTCCCCAACAGCAAAAATTTACTTCTCTATGGTCCTAAATTAAAAAAAGAAGTAGTAAGGAAGCCAGAGCCCTTTTCATCCTCTGGGTCACTGGAGGGGTGCAAACGTGAAGGACAAATGTCACAGCTGGCTAACCATCATGAATGATACAGAAAACAATGTCTTTGTAGTAGTAGAATTGAGGGGAAATTCAATAACTACTGTACGTACTGTATAATTATGCAAAAGAGATTATTTAGATGGTTTAAAATCGGGTTTACTTTTCAGTCACCTGATTAACTAGATGGTGGCCTCTTTATTACAGCCACTCCTCGACTTACGACCTACTCAACTTATGACCACCCGGACATACGACTGCCCCTGTCGTACCAAATATTTTTTAAATTACGTATTTTCGAGTCCCGGCGTTAGTGATTGCGCTGTGTACTGACAAAATTTTCGTTTGTAATTCCCTTTAAAATGGCTGACATGCTTAAAAGTGAGTTTAATTTATTTTATTTATTTTATTTTATTTTTGTGTTTATATATCATGATTTTCTGTTTGGTCATAATTTTTGTTTTGTTTTGTTTACCTTATAATGATGGAACCATTTTTTGGTTGCGTGTTGGAAGGAGAAATTTTAGGTGAAAATAGAACTTTTACCTGGGGTGAAAGGATGTGTGAACTTTGCACTTCAGGTAATCCGATGTTACTTATACTTTACACTCCACTATTATCTGTATCCATGGGATAGGCATGTAGAATTATACTTTAATTGATATGGTTCAAATATTGTTAGTGGTTTATATGGTATAAGATCACTGTGACAATTCTTTATATATCAAGTTGTCAGTTGTAATATTTTCTGTAAGGAGGCTGAATAAGAAATATTTTGAAATTTGGGAAGTTGAGAATTAATGATTATGATGCTTTCAAAGCTAAAAGTCTCTTAGCATCAATAAACAAGTGAAGTGAGACTTGGTGTAGTGTGGAGAAGTGAAGAATGAAAGCAGCTGCCAGGGATGAGGAAATAAGTATAAGTGGATGTTGGTAAATGAGGAGCAGTTGAAGATGATGAGAGAAAGGTTTAAAAAGGGATTTGTGGTTGTAGAGAGTTTAGGAAAATGAGTGTAAATTGTGAAATAGGTACTCTGAATAAAAACAAAACAAATGATAAGATGTTAATACAGCACAAAAATAAACAGCCACAAATTTTGGAGAAAGATGAACAAAATTTTTATTGTAAGCTAGAAAGCTTTTATAATTGTTACCCCAGTAAGAGTCACTGCCATTTTAAAATCGCAGGATGGCATAGTCACTACAGCATCACTTGTTTTTGAACTGCTATATTTACAAATCTCCCATACTCACTAGTGACATCTTACAGCCTAAATAAGGGAAAGAGGGACCAGTGACAAAATGTCCTGGGCTCCTTGATGGGTTTGGGGGGGGGGGGGTGAGGAACAGAGCTGGCCCCCCTGCCTTATCCCTTATTTATCCCTCCTTTGTGGCGCTAACATGCCGCACTACGTAGCTTCGAGGTTGTAACAACTTTTGGAGGAGGTGAGGGACAGATCTGTCCTCTCTGCCTTATCCCATATATATTTATCCCTCCCTTGTTCACTGTCTCCTTGACACACATACACGCACGCACGCATATTAGCATACCGCACTACATATTTATTTCATATATAGCATACAAAGATGATCATATTGTTTCGGTGACGTGAGGTAGAGTATGAAAAAGGGACTAATGACAACTGTCCTGGGTGGGTTGTGGGTGGAGGTGGGGGTGTGAAGGACAGAGGTAAGTGTAGGCCTGCCACACCACTGCCTGTCATTCCTCTTTCACCCAGCCGACAAGTGAATTGTACCTGGCTTCCCTGCCTTATCTTATATTTATTCTTCCTTTGTTCACTGTCTCCTTGATGGAGAAACTTACATGCCACACTACATAGCTTACAGGTTCTACCAACTTTTATTCAAGTGTCTTTGTATTGCAACATATTTCTTTCGTATCTAACTTACAAAGAACATAGTACTGTATTGTTTTGGTGAAGTGAGGTAGAGTGTGGTGACACGTATAGGTGTTAGAAGTGTTATTTGTTATATAATTGTGTGTGCATGTAACAGTAAAAAATAATTGAGAAAATTACGTATATCTACCTGAAACTGTGTCTGCATGTAATAGAATAAAAATAAGAAAATTACTTACAGTATATCTACCCGAAATTACTAGTTGAACAATAACATAGCTCACAGCTCAGCCTCATCCACTCTTGGTACTATTGGGTGGCGAGTCGGCTACACAATTATATGTCATCTCCACTAATATTATTCTTGTTATCCCTCATTTAACAATCATTTTGCTTAAAAATGAGTTTTTCAGGAATGCAGCCCCATCGTTAAATGGGGTATACTTATAAGTAGCAATGTGATTTAGTGGGATCTGTTGTTGATATATCAAGCAGTAAGAGGTCAAGTGTTGCCATGTGATTACCCTTTGAAAGTTTCTTCACCAAAAGTATGCCAGAAGTTCTTCCAAGTTTTTGTTCCATTATATAAAGATTGACAATATAGTAACTGAAAAAAACCCAGTAGAATTGGAGTTGACTTTTCATGTGTAATTGATGATTGTCATTTCCTGTTTGGAAGATTTATGCTTCCTGTGTGAATAATTATTCTTTAATGTTATGAATGATTATTCTTTCCTGTTTAGAAGACAATACAAGTTGCTAGTTTAAAAGATTTAAAATGTTGACCGAATGAAGAGTTAAATAAATAATTAGTGGGGCAGCATAGCAAATCTATTGTGCACTTTGTGATAAAAGTATCAAATTTGGCACACTTATTGACCTTTAGATTATGAACAAATCTGGATATGGTGCCACTGCATATTTTGCCCCTGATGGCCATGGCAGGCATTTTTCAAAATGGCTGTCAGAAAACTATGGCGGCATCCAGAAAGGTCACTTCAAGACATATTGCGGGACTAAAATAGTCGCAGTTGACATTCTAAGGTGCTAAAAGACAAGGACAAAGGATATAAACAAAAAATACACATGGTTTTATTACGTCATTTGTGAATACAGTACGTATGTGAATTTGCAAGTAAAGCGAGTTGTGGAGCAGTATTCACCAATCTAGGAAGTCAGTGATGGGAGCACAGCCCTTCACACACACACAGTACTGTGCATTCAAGTGCAGCCTTTTTGCACTTGCAGCCCTTCACACATCCCTTCTTGTATCTGCGCGAGACTAGCTCATAACAGGTGTGGGCAGCCTCAGGTAGTGTCGTCCTAAATGGCGTGTACAAGCCTTCTGCATTCTTCATCCTTGGTGTGAAGGGCCACCAGATCTGGGCTTTCCTCCTCAAAAGGGTTACCAAGCTCATCTATCACACTGACAAGGGAGTGGACATCTTTGATGAATGAAGTTTGCACATTGGGAATTTGGTCATGATGGTGTCTTTTTGCCTGCTCCAGTACTGGTGCTCATCTTTGAACTCTTCTATCACTCTCGCAGCTTCTGGACCTGAAACCATCCAACGCTGCAGGGCACTAGGATTGTTTGTCAGGCCCACAGCTCCTCCATCTCCTTTGATGCAGGCATTCTGTTCGTGAGCCTGATCAATCGGGATTGATGGCAATACCTCTTCGTCTTCTACACCGTGAAGTTACCTGCATTGAACTCTCTGGCTACACCTGGGTACTGTTTATAAGTTCTGCCATGTCCCTTAGGTGAACAGGGACCCACCTTGCATAGTTAGTGTGGTCTAGGGCATGGAACCATGGGGCCAGTCCCGTCAGTGCATCAAGGTACATGGTGAATGAGGATTGGCGCAAAGAACGCACATACACCAGTACCAACAGCTCTAGTTCTAGCACTGTTGCCCAGTACTGGAACAAGAGGGTGTCTTCTTCTCTCTTCTTGCACCAGGCATTGAACTTGGGCAGATATTCGGTATGGTCAACAACTTCTCGCAAGCAGAAGCAATCATAGGCACGTTTCTGTAGAATATACAGTGGCGCAGCAGTAATTTGGTGAGCCCTCTTTGTGGGGTTGATTGGGGCTGCTTGCAGAAAGGAATTGGCCGATCCTGGTGTCGCAATCTCGGCTTGAACTAGTGCCTCCACCCAGCCCATGCCTTCTAACTAGTCCCCCAGCATCTTCAAAGCTGCCATCTTGATGTGCAGCCCCCCAAACATAACCACTAGTTTGTCTTCATCATGACGCTCTGGCCATGTCCATTGAATTTGCTTGGCCAAGGCGTACATGGGCTGATCGAGGATGACTACTGGTGTCTGTCCAGGGTTCAGGTGCTCAACAGCGTGAGCACTCCACAAAAAGTGGAAGCAGCGACGTGGGGCAATGATATAAGCTTACAATACATAAGTTAATCATAAAAAAATTGATGCAATACATTCTAGAAAATTCTTACATAGGTAATACATCAATATATACAGTACAAGAAAGTGTCCCAGAACTTGCCAAAATAACTGCTGCTTTGAATAGAAAATAATCAGAACACCTAGTTCACAAAAATTATAATAATAAATTGTGCTTTGGCATAACAGTATTTTATACAGTGAAAATATGACAATGATATGTCATTTTAGGAAAGCAAAGGTTGTGTTCATAGAGAGTCTTGAACAAGAGTGGCATTTAACAGGGTTGTTGTTATACTGTACATACTGATTCATTGTCAAATAATTCTTACATTGCCAGTTGCTATGTTGTCCTAAAACATATACCCGGTACTGTACTGTGCAGTGTCTTGGAACTAGTCAGTGTCCTTTATGATTGGGGGGTTTTAGAAATTTATGATTTTTTTATCATTTTACCACATATCAGCCTACTGGCTGTTGGGCGGTTGGTCTGTTCTTTGTTACGTTGTTTGGCACACTGAGCTATCTCATTTGCTGATTCTATACCGGACTGCTGCCAACTGAAATATTTTTGTTTATATCAAGTTTGTATTACAATAAATTTGTGGTGCCCACTTCCTGATTGATTTGATTGTTAATTAATCCCTTCAGCATGATGACTTCTTATATAATTTATTCTGGCTATCACCAGACCATTTTATTCACAGAGCGCGGCTTTATTTACGAGAAAAATTTGAATGACAAAATACAATAAAGGAAACTAAAAATGTCATTAGGTAAATAAAATACCGTATTTCCCACATCATAACACGCTTTAAGTGACAAGATGCACCCTATAATTAGCAAAGTATATTCTGGAAATTTTTTTGGGGGGGTTTAATAACAACAGCTAACTATCACTTCATGAACCTATTATCAAACATTTGTTGGTATTATTAATTAAATTTACCTAATTTAGCATTGTCACTACCACAGCTAACTATCACGGTATGGACCTAATGTCAAATATCTGTTTGTATTATTTATTAATATTACCTAAATATAGTACAAAATGGTATACTGTACTGTAATTACATTCTTATACACATTACAAATGTATGGAACTGTCCTGCAGATAGAGTGGGTGTGGCACCGTCACCAAAAAAACAAAACTATGGCTTCCTACTGGTTACCATCAATACACTAATAAACTACAGTAATAAATCTGGTATTCATAATACCAGGATATATTTATTACATACGAATGGTAACTGTAGGCATATATTACATGTCTGGAGTTTGTGAGGGCTGATAAACTCCCTTCTACAATTGGATCTTCCAGTGTTTAGACGCAGGGTGTTTTTGGAGGACATTTTTCAGGAAAAAAGTCTGTTGTGGGAAATATGGTAGTGTAAATTTAAAGTTTAACCTTACTTTACTTTTTACTTTTATCCTCTTCACCACTGATTGGCTCGTTAGCCGCTTGGGCAATTGGTCACGTCTCTGTTGCGCACTGTTGGCAAGTACTGGGCGTGCACCGGCTCCTGAATGTATCTGAACCTGCTCCAGTGTTGGTCAAGTCTGGTCTTGTCACAACACTTTCTGGCAGATTGTTCCAAGAGTTCACAACTCTCACTCTGAGAAAGTTTGCCCTCACAGTTTTCTGGACCTGCTGCTTCTTCAACCTTGAACTGTGACTCTTTGTGGGGCGAGCATCCACCAGCTCCAGGTGAGGACACTCGACTCAGTAGTGTCCCTTGTTCATATCAGTGGATATTCGTAAGTTGGACGTACATAACCCGAGGACCTCATGTATCTATAAAAATCTTATTACCCTAGCTCTGTAATACATTGATTCCTATTATATTATATAATTGAAGATGAATTATTTACAGTTTTTGCATCACCCTAAATTGTGTGATGTTCCACTCAATTTTAAACACTGATGGCTCTAACTTATGGTAAGCTAGGGTGAACCGTGCACTTAATCCAAGTCCTACTCTGGTACAAATAATCCATGTGTTTTGCTATTGATGTCTCAGCTCGGTCCTCCTGCAGTTGCAACACACGTTATTTAAGCAACATTAAATAAGTGCTAATTTGTATTCTACGGACAATTCAAATGGGGTAGAGCCCAGTGGTTGTCGAATTAGCAAGTTTTAAGTTTATTACATGGAGAGTAAATTTGGTTGGGTTTGGTACATTTGAACATTTAATTGTACTTATTTGTGTACACTTCTGGTTATATCTGGTATTGTGTTTTTGAAACATTTTATTATTTTCCATTTCCTCTCATGCTGCTTATGGAACTTGCAGATACATGTACTCTTGGACACAAGAACTTGGGTGCTTGCAGTAAGTTATGTTAACATCTTGTGTGAGCTTACAAAAAATACTTTTGTAGTGTTGGGGGAATATTTTGAAGCCAGCCAATTTGCTTGATAAACATTTCTCATGTTCTAAAAATTTAAAACTCTCATCTTTGTATTCAGTACAGTAATACAAAGTTCTGTAAAATAGTCTGAATAGGGTGGTTTATGAGAGACATTTAACATATTTTTTGTTGTATGAAATCTTGCAAAAATACAATGCAGCATTGTGTTCTGAAAGTATAAAACTCTTAAGTCATTTGCCACTGTCATCCAGTACATTTTTCTTATGCTTTAGGATTTATTTCACAACAAAATCTTGAGAAAACTCTTAAAACCAAACAATAGATTTACATAGTGTTGTGGTGTCTTCTCATAGACTGTGACGGACATCCTGCTTCGAGGTGCCCAGTTGACCTACTTCTGTGCCAAAAACATGATGGATGCTAACACTTTTGGTGAAGCCTGGGCCAATGCTGCCTCTACTATCCCACCAACTGTTCTTGTCACCACAAGTTCTGGGTAACTGTTTCGTGCAAAGGATTTCTGGCAAGACAGGTTCCTGTGGTTTGCCATATGCACAGCCTCATGCCATGACTGGTCATGGCTGCTGCATTGGACAATGAGGTTGTGATCATACAGAGAACATTGTACTTAACTAGCTCAAGTGCCTCCTCCCACTTAAAAGATGGCAGTTCTATATACTGTACAGTATGTACCTGCTTATTTTCTTTTAACACTTAAGACCAGGTCTTCCAATGAGGAATGTTTGAATCTCTGTGTAAAGTTTGGAGAACGATAATTGTTGTACCTGTAAATATCCCATTGATAAACTGTGCCAAATTGACATTAAGGATTACTGAAAACAAGTACTGGTTGAAACAAGTGTAATATTATTTGATTTAAAAAAACCCTAATAAACAGCAATCCATCCTGCCAGAAGTGTCTTGCATCATATTCATAAAGAATTTTACAGAAATCCATGTAGATGTAAAAATGTAACTTGTGAGATTTTGAGACAAATCAAAAGAAAATATATTTGGTTCCTTAATTTTAAGCTTATGACTTCTTGTGGTTATTTTGTCAGGGGAAGGTCTATGACTAAATACTAAAAATTGATTTCTAGTAAATATTTCACTGGCTACCTTTGCATACTACTAAACAATCAGTCTGAAATTTCATTTTTATTGTTTTTAATGTAAATATCAGAAATCATGTGATAGGGTTTTTGAATATTGGTCATTAAATTCTTGTATAACTTGTACACAAATTAAGCTGAGACTTGTGTTGACATATATTGATTATCATTATCTAGATTTTGTACTATGCTGATTTACAGAGTTGGCCCATTGGAGGTGGCACTTAGAAGTTATTTCAAATGAATTAATGAATTTTAGCCATTTGTCATTCAAGAGGCAAAGTTTCCTTTTAAAGTATACTGTATTGTAGATCTGTTACTTGTAAGTGAATCTCTATATAGAATCTCATGTCATTAGTGCAACTGTTGAGAATTAATAGTTTATTTTGGTTACTGAAAAATCAATAAATGGCCATACATTGTTTGTATGTTTGCTCGAGATTTTTGCAGTCTCTACAAACCATTATGGCAATATCTATAGTGGAAACTGGAGAGCCATTTGGAACCTGTGCAAACTGTCTCAGGCACTTTAGGATACCTTGCCAGGGATAATTAACCCTTGTTTGGTTTATATTCATTTTTAAGTGCAAATGTGTTGTTAATCTTTTGTAAAGATTTTTATGCTTTAAGGATTAATTTCTTTTCTTTACATTATTTTTTTTTTTTTAAGTTTACTGTCTGGTACAGTGAGTATTGGAAGGTATTTACTTTTTCAAGAGATCATAAAGACACTGATGAGGCAAACACTGAAGGCCTATTTTGGTGATATATCAAGAAACTTTTTTTTTTTAATATACATGAAAAAAGTGGATGATGTGGGTGGCTCATGTGCTTGGTTTTATACTACTGTATTAGGAAAAGTTTTCAAATAAAAAAAAAATATTGTTTTGTGATAAAAACTTTTGCAGTATTTTTTCATTGAATTTTCCATTTTCAATAAAACAAATTTTTCCAAATGATGGGTAGTCATTCTAATTTCTCAAGAGACTGATGTGTGCCAATTTCACCCAATACCAGCATCTTTTCCCGAAGATAATCATGTAATACTTGTATGGTACCTTGCACATGTTGGGTGTTGTGCATGCCCCATGTTTTTTTTTCTTCATAATTTAACATAGCATGTGGTGTGTGCCATACTATGTGGTTCTAGTTCTCAAGACCTTTGCCTGGGTGAATGATGCACATCTTCAAACAGTGGTGGTTTCCACCCTGTAGGTTGAATGACAGGAAGAAATATGCTATCTTTTTAAATAAACCTTCTTAATCCAGACTGGTAAAACCTCTGGACTAATTTCTGTTAATCTGGATTGAGTTTGGATTAACATGAAATAGTCTGGATCTACCCACACGGTGTCAAAAATAAGAAAACACTTGAATCACTAACTTGCAGTATAGCATAATATAATTCTTGCTTGTCTTTCAAGCTGAACTCCTTTCTGGCCCTCTTCTAACTTCCTTTTGAAGTTGTTTTGCCTTTGGAAGCCATAGTAATTAGTCCACAAAGCCACAAATAGTCCACAGGAATTAAGAGATGCACACGCGAGGACTGTAACTGTGCGACTGGCGTGTAAACAAAGTGGCTGGGGCTGGTGTTCGTGTGTACCAGATGGCAATCCGTATTTTTCTCGGTTAATCCAGACTTTCCGGATGAAGTAAACCCCTGCGGAAATTGCTTTATCCGGAAATTCGCTTAATACAGATTGGATTTCCCCCAAATTCATCCGGATTAAGAGGGTTTTTACTGTAGTCTCTTTATCATTGCTTACTCTGTTGCAAACCATTCCAGATGATGTATTCTCATGGATATTGTACATAGTTTCTCATGTATGATAACTGTAATGATGTATACCGAGGCTCACCATATAAGGTTAATCTAGAAGCCTTGAGGGAGAGTTGTCAGTTATAGGAAGACAAGTTTGAAAGTATACATTAGTTTTGTTCTGTTCTTGATAAGTACAGTCACCCAAAAAAGTCCTGTCGCCTCTCATCCTGAACCACGAACCCCGAGATTCAGACTCGTAAACCCAAAGCAGTTGACACCTGCATTATTCTGTCCATAAATGCTTTGGTTTCAAGAGTCTGAATCTCGAGGTTCAGGATGAGAGGTGACAGGACTATTTTGAGTGACTGTACATTTAAATAGTTAAGTAAAAATGTGAAAGTGTCAAGCTGAAAACTTATGAGTTCTAATTTACTCAGATGAACACAAAAAGGTACTTTTTTTCTGTCAATGTAAGTGGTTGTTGTTTAATATTGTTGTCATTTTCAATAAGTTTTAGTTGAATTTCACAGATGTTTGCTTGGTTGGATAGTTTTACAATAAATAGGGTAGTGGCATAAGCTGGAGATAAAAGTGGTAACAATGAGAAAGGTGATTAGTCCCACCTGTTGCTTTAAATAATAATATTTTACATACTAATAGAATCTCCCAGTACTGGTGCTGCCAGGTGTTCATATTATAGGCTTATGTGGCTGTGTCCAAGGTGGTTGTATCATTCATATGTAGGAACATGTGTCTTTGGGAAGTATCAACATAACTTTGGTCAAATTTGTGAATTAGTAAGTTCTATCTATGTGTATTACTTGTATTGTATTTCACAGTAAAGAAGTATCCATTATGTGGTAAGCACTTTTTTTAATGTCTTGCACATGGGTCATAAGAAGATTTGAAGGGAAACTGTAGGTGCTTTGTATTCAAGTGTGAGTTATGTATTTTTTAAATCTTAGAGATTTCACAAAAGTTTCAATTTTTGTGTAATTGTTATTAAACTTGTGATCTTGATGCATAATTCAGCTACTAACTTCGTGTATTTATGCAACATGATATTTTCTCATTTCATAAACTTTAGTATTCAAGTTTCTAAGTACTGTACTGTACAGTAAAACACCCATAATTTGTACTCCCCTTATTAGAAATCACTCACAATTCATAATGTTTTGCTGTTATGACATACAGTACCCTGTATATGTAAAAAAAAAATTAATATTTGGTAAAATTTTGAAATATGAGACATTTAGAAATATTACGATATACTGTACATGTATACTGTACGTAATATTTGGTAAAATTTCAAATTATGAGACATTTATGAATATGTATGACACATGTCGCGATGGAATGCGACCACCCGCCTTGGTATAAACAAGCACACGTGTGTCGGTCAGTAAACGTGCATCACTTGTGGAGTGCATGTCTACAGTCTACCATGCAAGCTTTTTTCCAGTTGTTTTTCCATCATTGCCCAGTGTTCGAGTCATAATGTCTGCTAACCTTAAATCTGATACTATACTTTGAAATGGTTTAACTTTGATTGGGGCAGATAACAGAAAAGTACCTTTATTTTGTTTTTTGCCTAGGGAGGTGTCCCTTATAATACGTAAGGGCTAGAGCCCCTATTATTTTTAATTAAGGGATTGTACTGTACCAATTGTGAATCTATCTTTTTTTTTTCTTTCTCCGTGGAATCTCTCCTAATGCTCTTTTGTAAATTTTTTTTTTTTTAATGAATTAAACAGTTTTTCTTGATATTAGTTTGTGGCTTGTAACAGGATGCTGTAATTTGCTTATATATCTTGGTAATTTTATTTGTACAAGTCGATGTGGCATTACTGGTGCACTGTATTAGTGGGCCATGTTGATGAATTGTACAGCTTGATGTGATATACATCTGGTAACCTACTAAAAGGTTGCATAATTATTTTTGTCCTATAAAGAATCTCCTGTTAACAAACCTGTGAGAATTGTTCTACAGTGTTGTAAATTTAAAAAAAAAGAAAAATTATAGTGTATATTTGTCAGTAATTACATTTAATACATTGGATTTATGAACCTCTGAATAAATTTATTACTGTAGATAATAGCTCAGTTTTCAATTTCAATTGTTTATTCCTTGATAGAGGAAGCGGGATCCGAGTGCTGTCACTAGGTACCCCTGTACAATTGATAATAGTTTTGTTCTTTTTTAAGGGAGTTTCGAATGCTCAACAATGGCTAAAACTTGTGACAGCTTTTATTTTTATGGAATTCAACCATTGTCCCTCAGGAGGTTGATTGTTTGTTCATATACAAATTAGCTCCTGTGCCTATGAAGGCTTGGTATGAAAATGCATGGTTGAAGGAAGTGATTGAGAGGCTGAAGGTAGATGAAACTTGGTGTGAAATATGATACAGACCAGTGGAAGCTACTAATGGAGAGGGCAGGTGGTGAAGGCCAAATTAGCTTAGTGTATAAATTCATTTAGTCTTTTGGAGGAGGAAATGGATGGTAAGTTTACAGTTAAGGATAAGATGACAAAGAAAACTTTAATTGTTGATGATTTGCAGATAAGGCCATAATTGATCTTGCCGATTTTGCTCAAAATCTCAATACTGTACTCCTGAACATTCCGATTTAGAATCTGATGTCTGCACTTTGATATCTGTATAATTACTTGTCCAAGTGTTATAATTTTCTCAATCAAAATTTAATGTACAGTCAACCCTCACTTTACGCGATCCCACATTCCGCGTTTCCACGTTTACGCGGTACCCTGCAGGAACCCGGGATGCTCACATTCTGCGGTGCGTGTACCCCTTTACACGGAGAGTGTCCGGCTCGACGCTATTTTTAGATTCGCCCCTCCTGCCTCCGCCTGGGCAAGCCGCGCGGTAAGGTTGCGCAGTGCATGTCTGTTGCGTTATCAGTGACGTCATATGACGTATCGGACTGTGATTGGCCATGCATCCCTACCTCCCTCCGCTGCTAGCTGTAATTGGCTTAAAGTAATATGACGTGTCCACCCGGGGGAGGGAGGGAGGAAAGACGACGCTTGACCTAGCCGCGGCAGTTTCATCCCTCCAGGCCACACCGTGTAATCGTGCATCCATTGTTCTGTAAAATGGCTTCCGCCGGACCACCGCCCCCAGAGAGAAACCTTTCCTTGCCTGGACCCAGCCGCCCTAAGCCCAAGAAGACACGACGTTCCTTAAGCTACGCGGTGAAGTACAAGATCATCCAAGAGTTAGAGCAAGGAACACGACAGGTTGATTTGGCGCGCCAGCATGGTGTGAAAGAATCTACAATCCGGACGATAAAGAAGGATGTAGCCAAGATAAAGGAGCACATGAAGATCACAAAGTCTACAGGTGCTTCTATGATCAAGTATTTCCACAACCAGGTGCTTCTCAAGACGGAAAAATTACTTGTGAGCTACTTGGTGCGTCAGGCGCGACGGAACATGGCGGTGGACAAACGCGCTCTGTTAAGGAGTACGCACGTGAACTATATGCTGCAGTGTCACGAAAGATGGGAATTACAGAGCCCAAACCCTTTAATGCTTCCTCTGGGTGGTTACAGAGGTTTAAGAAGAGGAACAAGATCACCAATATCAACATTGGTGGTGAAGAAGCTAGTGCTGACCGTGTTGAGGCTAGGGAATTTCCTCCGTTTTTACGTGAGATTATGGAGGAAGGACAGTACACCGACGACCAGGTGTTCAACATGGACGAATCTGGTCTTTTTTGGAAAAAGCTACCTTCCAAGACCTTCGTTGTGAAGAATGCCAGCAAGATTCGGGGCCGGAAGTTGCAGAAGGAGCGCATCACCGTCCTGTTTACCACCAATGCCTCCGGTACCTGTAAGCTCAAGATATCGGTGATCCACACAGCACGCAAGCCGCACGCCTACAAGAGCATGGACATGACCAAGCTAAATGTCCACTGGCTGACCGCACGTAAGGCGTGGATGTTCTCTGCACTGTCCCTCTCCTGGTTTGATGACTGTTTCGTTCCCGATGTGAAGAAATTCTGTGAGCAACAGAATGTGCCATTCAAGATTTTGTTGCTGCTGGACAACGCACCAGGACACTCGCCCCTACTGTTAGATCGTCACCCCAACGTAAAAGTGGTCTTCCTTCCTCCCAACACTACGTCTATATTACAGCCCATGGACCAAGAGTTAATCTGTAATGTAAAAGCTGCATTCTCAACTAAAAAATTCAAGCTCCTGAACGACTACACCAACACCAGGGAAGAGTTGCGTAACCTGAGTGACACCACCACCGATAGCAAGAGCGAAGACGACGAGGATCAACAGTTGGCAGAGCAAAAAATATTTTTCAAACAATTCTGGAGAATATTCAACATCAAGAAAGCTGTGGACTTCTTGGTGGAGGCATGGGATCAGCTGTCTGTAGCAACTGTTCGTCACGCATGGAGACATGTGTTGCAAGGCATTCCGGCCGTTAGGCAGAGTCAATCTGTGACTGGTGAGGTTCAGACTGTTGCAGTAGCAGTGGACCTTGCCAGAGAAGCTGCGCAGAGTGTTACAGCTGCAGGCTTCTCCGAGACCACCAACGACGACATCCTGGAGGTGATAAGGGATCCTGATGTGACTACCGACGAGATGGTAGATGATGATGACGTCAGTGAAGAGGCAGGTGGTGCGTCATCCCAAGAAGAACACCGCTTATCCCATAGTAATGTTAGGGGTGCCATCGAGTGTATCGAGAAAGTCAAGCTCCTCCTTTCCGACGACCCTGACGCAAACAGGTATGAAATCTTCACTACCCAGCTGTTGCAGACTATGGAGCCCTACTTCAAGGTTTATCACGACAACATAAACACCAGCCGTCAGCAAAACATAACAGAGTTCTTCGCCCGCAACCCACCACAGCTAGCCCAAGCCAGTGATAGTGACAGAGGTAGAGACAGTGATGATGACTTTGAGGGATTTGTCAGAGAGGCCCTGACAAGTGTGGATGACAGTGATGGTGACTCACCTGAGGGCCAGTAGCCTGCCCTCTGCCTCGGAACCAGCCTCCATTCCCGTACGCCGACCCATCTCTTCTACTAACGTAGTGTTAACCCCAACCTTTATTTTTCCTAACCTAACCTCTTCTATATTAATTGTGTGTGCATACTATCATAAAGTTAAGATAATATTTTTACTACAACATAGTTGTGTGTCGTCAAAAAGTGGAGTTTGGGGGTCGGCCCGGTCTCTATTTCAATTAATCCCATATGTTATGTTGTTCACTTTACGCGTTTCTCACTTTACGCGGGCCGCCGTGGGTTGAATTAACCGCGTAAAGTGAGGGTTGACTGTACTGTACTCCTGAACATGCCGATTTAGAATCTGCTGTCTGCACTTTGATATCTGTATAATTACTTGTCCAAGTGTTATAATTTTCTCGATCAAAATTTAATGTATCTAACTACTTGAGTACATCCAGAATGGTACATGAACACCATAGGCAGCAAGTAATTGGGATTAGAAAAGTAATTATAATTAAAAAAAATTTAGATGTCATTTGGACAATTATATAGATAAAGTGTGACAACAGATCCTAAATCAACATGTTCAGGCGTACATATACAGTACAGTATTGAGATTTTGAAAAAATCAGTGAAATGAAGATTATGGTCGAAACACTAAGCACTTACCCCTTATAGGATTTTAGACCAAAAATACTCTCAAAAATGAAATTTAATGTATCTAACTACTTAAGGACATCCAGAATACATGCACAATAAAAAGTGACCTTGAAAAACCATAGGTGGCAAGTAATTAGTGTTAGAAAAGTAATTAAAACCTTTTAGATGTCATTTGGACAAGTAATTATACAGATATCAAAGTGCAGGCTACAGATCCTTAATCAGCATGCTCAGGAGTACATTATACAAGTATTGAGATTTTGAACAAAATAGGTGTGATTTTATGCCGAAAATACCTTTTTTCTTGGAATTGAAATTTAATGTACAGTATATAACTATACTTAAATACATCCAAAATAACACACAAATACAGGTACCAAAAAGTAACCTAGAGAAAAACCAGGGTTGGCAAAAATAAATAAATAAATAAATGGTTTTAATGAGTTTTAAGCACTTGTCATTTGTATAACTTTATAATAAATATGCTATTTATCATAAACATTACAGTACATTCAGGATGACATAGCAATCATTTATACTCTTTTTCAACCTCAAAAAATCACCATTGCAGAGGCCAATGTACAGTTGGAGAGACATAGGTGGTCAGTGAATGGCAACCCTGCTCCTCTGGACCTATATATTACATGATCTGAACACATTAGAAACAGAGGCTCAGAGCCCAACCATAAACAGAAGCAGTCAATAGTTATACTGAACAGTGGCAACTTGGCTTCCTTATAATCAGGATTTGAGAAGTGTGCAGTCCTGTAAGAAAGCTTATTACCACCACTTTCATCAGTGTATAATAGTTCACATCCACGTCTATATTCAGCAACCACAGGGACATAACACATCCCTGTCTAACACCCACATTTATTTCAAATGCTTCACTTTCTTTCCCATTTATTCTTAGTGTTGCCCTGTTATTCTCAAAGGTTGCCTTTACTGTATTTAACAGCCTTCCTCACACCACATACACTTGTACCAATGCCTTCCACAATGCTTTTCTGTTCACCCTGTCATCTGTAAGTAATAATAATACAAAAAAAAAACACCCTTATTAAAACCAAGAAAAAAGTGATAGATTTAAAGAAAAAAATATTTTGTTTGGTTGAAATCATTTGGTATTACAGTATAATTTCTATGCTATATATCAATTTTATTGTTTATTATAGCAATAAATATCTCAGTTTATCCCTGTTGTGCACAGTATTCAAATTTATGATTCTAGCTGATTTTGGAGGAATCTTTACTATTATTATTATGATGTCATTCTGGTGCCGGTTAGTTGAATCTCCCAGTTGCCCAGATACCGGAAAACTTGGATTCTACTGTACGTAGTTCCTACAACAATTTACCACACACTGGGACCTTACTGCAAAACATAACTTAAGTGTAGAAAAAAAAAGATAAATGGTTGAATTTTATGGCTGCGATAATTTCTCATGACTTCTCAATGACCAACTTGTCACACTGTTCCTTTACCAGAGGTAGATGCTGCCATACTAAATCTGGATTGTTATACACTAATGAGTCCACCTGAAAAAATACAATTCAACTAGAACTGTGTTTGTGAAACACAAAAATATACTGTATTAAATGGGTTGAAAAACAAAATATGATATCCAAACATGTATATGAAGAAGCCTATGAATTTTTCTAGGATCATTAATTATATCACATGAATAGTGTGATATCACTTAGATTAACACCTACAAGAAGTTACTTTCTGTATTTTGAAATTTAAATATCCCATTATAGAGAGCTGCCATAAAATTTTACAAAATTAGGATGACAGGTAAACTTGCATGAGTGTGAAGATTATATATAAAAGTGTACACTGCCAGTGAGTGATGTGTAAGGTTGAAAGGTTTATGTATACGGCTAATATAGAATTAATTTTTCTTTTAGGTTATACGGTATTTAAATTGTAAAATACTGCTTAATTCCCATGTAAATTCAAGCTAACTAAAGTTGCTGACTTGCCACTGCACTTGAGTAACTATACCAGTTTATTTCATTTACTATGGACCTCAATGGAGAGCATGAACACAATCCTGTTAATGACTTCACGATTGAGAGGGAAGTTATTTCCACTTTGTTAAAAGGACTTAAGGCAAAAACTTGTGCTTAAATTTAAATAATTTTTTTTTTTTTTAAATAATTTATCCAGATATTTACCAGTACAGGTACACTGTAATAAAAATATGTGACGTGTTGACCCAGAATTAGTAATGTCTAAGGAATACTATAAGCCAGAATATCATGTACACCACAAAATTACAATCCTTTTTATTTATGTTTTGATCTATCAAATGTATAATATATGTCATAAAAACTTGGGAGGCATGTGCTGTGCAACTCACCTGTAAGTTGGACACAGCAGCCTCTCTTGTTGATGTTTCCCGGAGTATAAATGAGACACTGGCAGGGCTGTAGAGTCTGGTGTCATTTACTCTCACTATGACACGGTCCACTCGCAGGTAGTGACGAAACACCACGAACAGCCCGCTGGGCATTACTCTCTGCAGAATAATTTTTTTTTTTTAATTCCTTGGCATACAGGAGCCTTATGAAGAGTAATAAAATACAATAGAGGTGATGGATGTTATGGCAGAGCAAACAGTAGTGATGCAGGTGCCCTCCTCCCACTTTCATCAAAACTATTTCACTATAAGAATTAGTTAGCATAAGTGCTTAGTGTACAGTACAATTAATAGCTGAAGGAGTATGTAGAAAGCATCCTTACCTTCTCTCTAATATACAGTATTGCTGTACGTGGGAATTATTACCCTCTCAGATCTTTCAAATCAATTACTGCCCAGCTTCAATTTTGACTTGTGTGAAAAAGAAATGAAGAAGAGAACCTCTTGAACTCACCACTTTAACGACACATCTTGTGCTTCCATTGTCATCTAATTCATCTTCATAGAGAAAAATTTCTTCATAAAACTTGATTTCTTCCCGTTCTCTTAATTTGTTCAGATCAATTCGTTCATCTGTGGACTCAGCCACAATTCCCCCTGACAATGTTCCCCGGTAATTCGTGGTGTAGGTCCAGTCATAAGGTTTCACCACTTTTTGTGCAAACTCACAATCTGCTCTGAAAGAATTTAGCATATCCGTAATACTGTACTGTATAATGTGTGTCTCTCTCACCAGTTGCACACCTAGGAGTCTTTTAAGGGGAGATGAGGGGTGAATATTCTCTCCTCCCCTTTGAAGACATGTACAGGCCCATCTTCCATACTTTTTGCACCTTACTGAATAGCTACCCAAAAAAAATTCTAAACCATTATTTGCAAATATTTTATACTGTACAGTAATCCCTCGAAGATCTGAACTCTGTAAGTCTGGATTTGGGATAGTTTGTACCCTTTCCGGGGAAGAAACATTTGTCCAAACCTTAAATATTTGTCGTTTGACATTCCCACTGTGTACGGTCACTTGAAATTCTCGCCAGCGAGCATTCCCTCGAGGCTTCTCTCCTCTCAAACCCGTGAGTGAATAGGTAGTTTATTCTCTCACTATTAGAATGGACTTGCCCATAATGCTGCTCTGATTGGTTAGCTTTTAGTTCAACACACATTCAGCCACAGAAAAAAAGGTATGATTTTAAGTTAAAAAAAATTTAAGCAATGGTGATGGTAATCCTTCCGGAAAATGAGTGTGTACAGGTACTCCCCGACTTACGACGGGGTCAGGGACCGACATCCAGGTCGTAAGTCGAAATGGTCGTAAGTCGGAAATGCTTAAATAACACGTAGAAAATAAAAAATTTGGGTCTCTTTTTCTTCTCCACCAAAAAACACCCACTTTTAAGCTTGCCAGCCATTTTAAAAAGAATTACAGATGAAAATTTTGTCTGTGTACTGACTTTGGGACTCAAAAATACACAATTTGACCACATTTTGGTATGACTGAGGCGGTCGTAAATGCGGGTGGACGTAAGTAGAGTCGGTCGTAAGTCGGGGACTATCTGTATTGCATCATTATCAATCAATCAATCACACACACAGTTGCGACACTGTCTGCTGTTCAACACCTCAGCGCACATGATCTACGTGACCTCCACTGTAGACATTAATCTGTATGTTCACTGTTGTTCCCTTTCCTTTCTCTATTGAAAGCTTTTGTTAAACCACCAATGTATATAATAAATCATTTATGTCCAATGTATATTTTCAGCCTTCGAGCTGCAGAACTTTTTCCAATAAACCGTTAATAATTATCACACATGCACACACAAACTTTTCATAGGGTTAGGATGTGTAGTCGTGGTTTGTCGGGCCTTCCCTTTCCCCATCTCCCCCTCCCCATCTGGATTTTTCAACATCCTCCCACCAACAGTACAGTGCAAAGATTGAAGATCAACCCACAACTGATATACAAAGGTGACAATTTCAACTCAAAAGGAAGAAACAACTGTTAGAGCGACACCTTGACCTGACGCACCCAGCCCGCGGTACACTCGCCACCCCCAACACTGGATGAGAAGCCAAGAAACACTCCAAACTACACCAGGAGAGAAATGAGGACTCCCTACTCCACCCAGGTGAGGAACTATGAATTCCTAACTACATCATATGAGGAACAAGAACCATCTCCAACACCCTGTGTGAGCTGGAGGACCTACCCAGACCACGTGGTACATCTGCAGCTGTAGTGAGGTAGCGGCTTAGCAGTCAGGTACAACGGCCATCAAGACAGTGGGAAGGACTTTGTTGGCGCCGCCATCAGGTCACAAGAATGTCTACAGACCAGCTCCCACAGTACCAGATCTATAGTTAATCTATATGTTGACTGTTTCTTATGTTTTCATATTGAAAGCTTTTGTCAATCAAGTGACCCACTCCCCGATTTCACCATATGTAACTTATCATCTCTGTTCATTGTATATTTTCAGCCTTCAGGCTGCCATGTTGTCTTAATAAACCGTTAATTATTATTATTACACACACACACACCTACCTCTGCTGCAGTCCATATCAGTGTCCATTACAGTACAGTACTGTATTTTGAAGTCAAATTACAAATTGTCAATTTTTATCCACTGTTTATTATTTTATATTATTAATGATGAAACATGTACCATGAGGGGCTGATCATACGAGAATATGATAATGAATAAATGAAAACAAACACGAACATGGCAATGGCCAGTCCCATCTACCCCCAAGATGTTTACACATGAAGTGTCATCTCTCATACCTATTAGCTCTCATTAGACCTATATCAAAGACAATACAATACAGTATACAGTAAACCCTCGATAACTCGGCACATATGGGGCTCTGGCCTTGCCGAGTTATCCCAAATTCCGACTTATCAAGGCACTTTCCCCCTCCTACAAAAAAAAAAAAAAATTATCATCCCATATATTGTATATGTAGTCGCTCAAAAAAGTATCTAAAAAGTAGGGTTCGATGGATGTCAACAAAAAATACAATATGCATATACAGTCAACCCTCGCTTTACGCGTTTCCACGTTTACGCGGTACCCTGCCGAAACCGGAATGCTCACTTTCCGCGGTGCGTGTACCCCTTTACACGGAGAGCGGCTGGCGAGCCACGCCATTTTTGGATCCAAACCTCCCGCCATCCGCTATGTTGTGTAAGCGGCGCGAGTAGGTTGCGCAGTGTGTGTCTTTGTTGCGTTATCAGTGACGTCATATGACGTATCGGACTGTAATTGGGCCATGCATCCTTACCCCTCTCTGCTGCTAGCTGTGATTGGCTTAAAGTAATATGACGTGTCCACCCGCGGGAGGGAGGGAGGAAAGACGACGCTTGGCCTAGCCGCGGCAGTTTCATCCCTCCAGGTGTGCTCTGGGTGGTTACAGAGGTTTAAGAAGAGAAACAAGATCACCAATATCAACATTGGTGGTGAAGAAGCTAGTGCTGACCATGTTGCGGCTAGAGAATTTCCTCCGTTTTTACGCGAGATTATGGAGGAAGGACAGTACACCGACGACCAGGTGTTTAACATGGACGAATCTGGTCTTTTTTGGAAAAAACTATCTTCCAAGACCTTCGTTGTGAAGAATGCCAGCAAGTGTCGGGGCCGGAAGTTGCAGGAGCAGCGCATCACCGTCCTGTTTACCACCAATGCCTCCGGTACCTGTAAGCTCAAGTTATCGGTGATCCACACAGCACGCAACCCTCACGCCTACAAGAGCATGGACATGACCAAGCTAAATGTCCACTGGCTGACCGCACGCAAGGCGTGGATGTTCTCTACACTGTCCCTCTCCTGGTTTGATGACTGTTTCGTTCCCGATAAGAAGAAATTCTGTGAGCAACAGAATGTGCCATTCAAGATTTTGTTGCTGCTGGACAACGCACCAGGACACTCGCCCCTACTGTTAGATCGTCACCCCAACGTAAAAGTGGTCTTCCTTCCTCCCAACACTACGTCTATATTACAGCCCATGGACCAAGAGTTAATCTGTAATGTAAAAGCTGCATTCTCTACTAAAAAATTCAAGCTCCTGAGCGACTACACCAACACCAAGGAAGAGTTGCGTAACCTGAGTGACACCAACACCGATAGCAAGAGCGAAGACGACGAGGATCAACAGTTGGCAGAACAAGAAGTACTTTTAAACAATTCTGGAGAACATTCAACGTCAAGAAAGCTGTGGACTTCTTGGTGGAGACATGGGATCAGCTGTCTGTAGCAACTGTTCGTCACGCATGGAGACGTGTTGCAAGGCATTCCGGGCGTTAGGCAGAGTAAATCTGTGACTGGTGAGGTTCAGACTGTTGCAGTAGCAGTAGACCTTGCCAGAGAAGCTGCACAGAGGGTTACAGCTGCAGGCTTCTCCGAGACCACCAACGACGACATCCTGGAGGTGATAAGGGATCCTGATGTGACTACCGACGACATGGTAGATGATGATGACGTCAGTGAAGAGGCAGGTGGTGCGTCATCCCAAGAAGAACACCGCTTATCCCATAGTAATGTTAGGGGTGCCATCGAGTGTATCGAGAAAGCCAAGCTCCTCCTTTCCGACGACCCTGACGCAAACAGGTATGAAATCTTCACTACCCAGCTGTTGCAGACTATGGAGCCCTACATCAAGATTTTCACGGCAACATAAACACCAGCCGTCAGCAAAGCATAACAGAGTTCTTCGCCTGCAACCCACCACAGCCAGCCCAAGCCAGTGATAGTGACAGAGGTAGAGACAGTGATGATGACTTTGAGGGATTTGTCAGGGAGGCACTAGTAAGTGTGGATGACACCGATGAAGACTCACCTGACGGCCAGTAGCCTGCCCTCTGCCTCGGAACCAGCCTCCATTTCCCTACGCCGACCCATCTCTTCTACTAACGTAAGTGTTAACCCCAGCCTTGTTTTTTTCTAACCTAACCTTCAGTTTATTCTTCTCTTATTGACTGTTCCCTTCTATATTATGTGTGGGTGAATACCATCATAAAGTTAAGAGGTTATTTTTAGTAAAACGTACGTATTGTGTCAGGAAAAAGTGGAGTTTGGGGGTCGGCCCGGTCTCTATTTCAATTAATCCCATATGTTATGTTGTTCACTTTACGTGTTTCTCACTTTACGCAGGCCGCCGTGGGTTGAATTAACCGCGTAAAGTGAGGGTTCACTGTACTGTATATGTGGTATGAGGAACTCCAGAGACAACTGTATATTTTGATTTAGAGTATTTAGAGTTATCATCACTTATTTTGCACCACACAGACCTCCACAACCACACACGCACACTAACAAACAAACAAACACACATACTCCACACAGACACAAAAAACCACACACCCAACCACAGGTGGAAATTAGCCTGGGGGGGGAGGTGGTCGTTGACAACAGGAGGAGGGAAGATTAGCAGAGGGGTTTTATTTTTTGCTGATAAAATGTCACTGACTCGACTTAGGAAAATATAACTTGCATTGCTGAAATTCTTGTAAGATAGCAATTAATTTGAGGATAAACATCCCTTATTTTGCACCATACATAATAATTTTAGTAATTAACTTAGTACATTTGAATACAAGTTGTGATAATTTATGTGGTTGCAGTTTCATAGCTTTTTGACATCACTAATGTATAGTGAGTCTCCATATGCCCTGGTTTATTCATTGATCAGTTGTCTAAGTGTAAAAGTAGCCCAGTCGAGCTATCATGTATCAATTAATTTTAAAATAGAAATTATAATGTAAAATGTTATAAGACAATGGTTTAGTAGTGCTGTGTATGTGTCCTGGCATGTCACCTCACCATCTGACTCCTGAACAAACTCTTTATCAACTTCCTCAAATCCTACAATGTGCTTGGCAAGCTCAAAACACAGACACACACACACACAGGAATTAAGACAAAAAGCATCCAGTGAGGGTCTTGTTGTGTGACTTCATGGAGGCAAATTAAAAGATCGGTCATGTTGACTGCTGACATGAATTTGAGTAATGGCATGTACAAACTGGACAATTTTGTAATTAAGAAGATTTGTAACCAGGTGAGAAGGTTGGGTCACCTTACCCTCTGACCTGACTACCGACCGTTGCGGTGCTTTTTAAAGATTAGTAGGGTCATTACCTAATACCTTACCATTGTGGACCTGATCTCACCCTCCTCTGTATATATACACCTTGTTTTGTACTTCTTCTTAGTCTGTACTCACCCCTGAAGATGTGAATTACACCAAAGCGCTTGGGAAGTTCGTGTTTTCTTCTTTCCTTGTGGTTATCAGCATATACCTGTATCACGCGCAACTACAGTGATTTACTTGCACATACAGTCAACCTTTGCTTTATGCGGTCCCACTTTACGCGTTTATGCGGTACCCTGCCGAACACGGAATGCTCACTTTCCGCGGTGTGTGTACCCTTTTACGCGGAGAGTGGCTCAAGCAGGGTGCGCACAAGGTCGCCCAGTCATCAAAACATTACCGAGTTCTTCACCCGCCACCCACCACAGCCGGCCCAAGTCAGTGATAGTGATAATGATAGTGAGGATATGGACTTATATGGACTTTGAGGGGTTTGACAAAGAGGCCCTGCAAGCCTCTGTGGTGGATAGTGATACAATTGATACAAGTGATACAGGTGAGGGCCAATAATCTGCCCTCTGCCTCGGAACCAACCCCCATCCCCGTGTGCCCAGCCATCTTTTCTACTAATGTAAGTGTTAAAAAACCTAATATTATTGATATTTCTCTTAATTATTAATTGTGTGTGCATACCATCATAAAATTAAGAAGTTATTTTTACTACAACGAGGTATTGTGTCTGAAAAAGTGGAGTTTGGGGGTCGGCCCAGTCTCTATTTCATTAATCCCATATGTTATGTTGCTCACTTTTACTGGCCGCGGGTTCAATTGGACCGCCAAAGTGAGGGACATATATATATATATATATATATATATATATATATATATATATATATATATATATATATATATATATATATATATATATATATATATATATATATATATATATATATATATATATATATATATATATATATATATATATATATATATATATATACTTCAGAATATTTTATAGTTTTCAGACTTAATCTAAATTAAAAGGGTTTACTATGCTACAACAGGTACTACAATACTATTACTCCAGTACTAGTAACAACAGCAACAATAATAACAACAAAAGCAATCCCTATAATTCTCTTGTGACTCCATCTAAATATTCAATACAGCACTAAAACTGAAGAAAAGCTCAATTGTATCAAGAACTGTACTGTACAGTAACCACAACAGCTCACCTTGCTTCCTTCCACACATCTGCATGAGCAACCTGCAATGTGTCTTCTTTATCATTGACACACTGCAGGGCTTCCAAGGCATTGAATGTAATGCTGCCCCCAGACTTGTGTTTTATCTGCAGTAGGTTGTCAGCGAACACCATATCAGGAAGGGACGGTAATGTCAATAGTCGCTCATACCTGCAGGATGATGTAGAAGTTAATCACACAAACACTTTGTCATGCTCTTTGTAAATATTAGTGAATTAATCTAATGTAGTGTGTATTAAAACTCATGCAACAGTATAAATTGTGTATTGTTCTATTTATTATAAGGACATATATTGCATTATCAAAATAAAAAATAAAGTACCTGTAGCTACATAAAAAGAGTAGGTGGTAATTTAGTTTACCAAGGATGTAAATAAAAATGACGATCATTGCTTCATATTGACCTACACAAGTTTAATTTTCTTCAGAAATATCATCATTGCCCTGCCCTACACTACACTCTTGCCCCTCTGCCCTTACCCTACACTCTTTCTTGCCCCTCTGCCCTACCCCACACACTATCTTGCCCTCCTCTCACAACCTAGTCATAACTACTGTACATCTCCTCCACCATCTCAGCAAAGAATTTTCCTTCAACTTATAAACAAGAAATACAGAATACACAATTCTTCCATTTCATTTTTGGAGACTTAACATCGGTTACACACCTCCTCCACCACTGTGTCATCTGTAAACACTCACCGACACCGGTTACACAATTTCTCCACTTCCATGTCACCTGTGCAGTGCCCAAGGAGGGCCTCACACTGTGACCCCATAATGTGACTCTTGACAATCTTCAGCGTCCAGTCTCCATACACAAATTCCTCACACAGTGGAGGTGGTAGTCTAGACTCAACCGGTTGTGACATTCTGAAAGCATGATGGGGATGTGAGTCAAAAGTTCTGAGCATGTAGTGACTCTCCTTCAGTACTGTACTACCCAGGGCAGAGATTATGCTTTTTGGTATTTGACAAAATTATTTAAGTAAATTTGAATTTTCAACTAATATGGCTCTCGAGGTAGGTAATGTGTTCTTCAGATAGTTTGAATATAAGTTGCATTTTCAAGCAACATACAGTCGGAGTTTTTTTACTTAAAAAATAAATAGATCTCGTTGAGAGCTATCTTCTGAACCCCACTGATACTTGTCGTAATTGAGTATTAAGCGACACATTGGTTAACTTGAGAGCCATATTGGTTGAAACTGCAATAATACCATAACTTATAGCAGAAGTTATTATAAGTAGATAATAGAAGAATACTGTAATCAACTGTTTTCCCCATATGCCACTGCCTATGTGCATTTGGCACTACAGCAATATAAAAATGATCAACAAACTATAAATGATTATAGCATGAACAAACTAGTAAAATAATAAATACATAAATTTAACCTCAAAATTCTTCAGTAGTTCATTTCTGCTTAAATCAAACATACAGTATATAAAAAAAATTATTCTTTTTTGTTTTTTGTGTTTTCTAATTATTGATTGCATGTAGTAGAGTACCTGTACTGTATACAGTGAAACAACTGATTATTCATCCAATTTTATTTATTAACATACTGGTACATGTATTTCAACTTCTAAAATAATTCTAAACAATGCCTAGTGTGATAAAATTCTTGTGAATCTAATACAGTAATAATCAGAAGGAGCTGCTTTGAAATTTTATCAAAGATTTCTCATGTAATACTGTACAGTGCTGTACTTAACTAATAAAAACTTGGAATCAATCCTTCAAAATAATTCTTTTCTCAACATATAAAGAAAATGTTGTTCAACTTATGGAGTTCTATCAGAAAGTTCTTGAAATACCTGTACTGACTTTTAAATCCTCCATTGTTCATGGAATTCAACAAACTGTATCATGAAATGTTCAGAAGTGTTACTTTAAAATATAATAATACAGTAAACCCTTAAACATCGCGGGGGTTAGGTTAATGAAAACTCTGCGAAGCCCCAAAACCACTAAGTTCAACCAGGGAAGTTAATGTAAAGCAACTACTAAATGGTAAAATAAATATGCACACTCAAACCACCCTTTACTAGCTGTAAAAAATGATTTCTTTTACTCTTGACTGTTACCATTTGCACTGGCCATACTGTCACCACGTACACTAACTCCGCAGAAACCCCTCAAGACCAGAAGTGGAAGTTGTCATACGCGATGAACAACCTCCCTCCCCAAGCAACCCGTAATGCAATCCATTGAGGGGCGAGGGACGCCATGTTCAAGCCCGCAATGCTCAAAGGTTTACTGTAATTTATAAGAACCTATAAGGATATTAATCTGTCAAATGTACATACAGTACTACTGTATCTGAAGTTAGCAGATGGTTGCCCTACTAGAGATAATAGCCTCATGAAGCCACAAGTATAGAAAACTAACAGAGTTATGATCTCTTGGAATTACCTGCCAATTATGACAGTACCAAGCATGAAATCCTCTAATCTCTTCACTGCAAGGACGCTACTTTCCTTATTATATTTGGCTAACGCTAGACAACTTTATTCAGAAAAGAGAGAGCCCTGTACCCAAGGGGTTAATAAATAGCAGGCAATTTTATTCGGCACAGAGAGACCCCCCCATACACAAGGGGTTAGTTGGTTACTAGACTATGTCCTGTAACTCCTCACTATGGAGACACCACTTTTGATATCTTTTTTGGCTTACACCACAAGATTTTATTCAACACAGAGGCACAACGGGTAAAGTCCGGACTTGACAAACACTGGCACATCATGTAGGTACACTCGCAACAAAAAGTATCGGTGCATACTGTAGTGTGAACAATTTGTGACCAGTGACGATAGGTATTGGGAAAGGCGAGTTGTTCCAGCTGAATGTTGGCAGCCCCGATTGTCAGCCATATGGCAATACCTAGTAGAGGGGAGGGGGGGTTATGAGGATACACTTACCAACCTTCTCGACATATCACAGTGTATACGTATCGTTTCGGAACTCGTCGATCTCACCCTGCACCGATAATTTTTGGTGCGAGTGTACATTCGGTACAGTACCTGTTAACAGTGCATAAGATTGAAATAACTGCCTGCCTGACTGGGTATGTCAAAACTATTTTACCTTTCAAATTTTCTTTGCCCCGCCTTATATTTTACACATTTCGGTAAATTTTTACTTTAGTACAAGAGTCCCTAGGGGTTGACCAATATGCTTTTCCAGTGTATTTTGAACGAATCTAACCTTCATTTCTGGTGAAAATTGCTCGTCCCCCCACAATAATTGGGGAGAGCCTGGGAAATCGAGGGTTTTGGGTGGAGGAGATAACAAAAACGAGCCACCTAGCCTAATAAAACCTAGCCTAAATTAACTTACCCCCTAGCCAGGGGCTCTGCCCCCAGACCTCCAGTAGGCCCAGCTTAAACTAACCTAAATGTTTCAGTAGTTTATAACTTTCGGGCATGCTATGTTCTAAAGTAAAATAATACCCACATTTCAAAAATATACTTTAGGCAGCGGATATTTTGCTGTGACCGATAAGTTTCTAACACTGATTGGTTAATCGTTCATTATCAGTGAACAACACGAGAACTATATTTGACCATGACTCTGGCTGCATTTGGCATTCATCATTATAAAAGAGGCAACATTTACTAGAATCTAATAGAACCTGGCCTAACCAACCAAAGGAACCTACCTAACTTAAAGAAACCTTCCTAACTTCCTAGCCTAGCTGACCATATTAAAAAAAATTACTTAGCCTATCAATGCTCACTCGTCGTAAAATAGCGTTAGTAGGAACTTAGCCGGATACAGCACAATATCCACTACATATACTTTATATTACAGTATTAGTAATGTAAAATCCAAATAATCCTGGCTGCCCACTCTTAATTTATCATGTTACTATAACAATGTATGCTAATGTCTCAGAATTTACGCAACTACTCTCATGATGATTCCAATGCCAATATTTTAAAGGGAACTATTAAAATGTTATAATATTAATGACTTCACTGAGCCTTACTGCCTCACCTAGTTGTTGTGGGTAGTGATGGTGACTGGTGAACAATGTTAATATTCACCACGAACTGCTCAAATTAAGTGTGAGCAGGGTTAACTTTTTAAGGTCATATTGGCCTTTTCAGGAGGTTATTGGTCTTAAAAAATCATGCAAACCACACGCTATTTGGCCATATTTTTGGCTTCTATAGAAAATACAAAATAAAGATAAAGGAAAGAAATAATAACGAAAATATTAAGTCATAAGCAAATAGTTTTTACTTATTATGCTAGGTCATGGTTGACTTGCATTTAATATTGTTTCCTATTTGTTAGGTAACAAAGAATATCAAAATGAAGTTGTAGTCTAATTCAAGCCCTATTAGTTGTGGTAACTGGTGTGTGTGGTGTCACTGTGTCGGCAGTCTGTTTACATGTTTTGCGCTTCATAGCCTTCACCAGGGATGCCAGAAGGCCGGTTTCACTACCAAATTAATCAAATATGGCCGTAAAAAATTGCCTCGCCTTAAATAATGGATGGCCACAGCCAAACTATGTGTGAAATATGTATTAATTCCTCATCTAGGGTTTTTGAATAAAGTCTAACTTCGTGCGTGGTGGAAGGGCTGCCAATTTAGCGCTTTTTGGGAGTGATATTGAGATATTCTTGTTCAGTAATGCTAAATTTTAGCGATTTTAGCTATACTGTAAGTCTATCTCATTAGTCTAGCGGAAATTCTAGACATTTGATATGACATATTGCTCATGTTCTGAGCGTCACCATCGTAACAGACAACTAGCATTGATTATCCCTAGTTTATCAGGATTAATTATAAACAAATTAATTAGTTTTGTTAGTTTTTAATGCTTAAAGTCAACCCTGTATTAAATTGAGTGATTACTAATTTGGTGATGACACCTATAAGTGATATTGCTGATCATACAGTACTCGAAAGTACGGTAACTGGATTATATATATATATATATATATATATATATATATATATATATATATATATATATATATATATATATATATATATATATATATATATATATATATATATATATATATATATATATGTATATATGTATATATCTGTATATATGTATATATATGTATATATGTGTATATATGTATATATATGTATATATATATATGTATATATATATATGTATATATATATGTATATATATATATATATATATATATATATATATATATATATATATATATATATATATATATATATATATATATATATATATATATATATATATATATATATATATATATATATATATATATATATATATATATATATATATATATATATATATATATATATATATATATATATATTTATTCAGAAATTTCAGTGTAATTTCAAACGCCGCCCATTGGCGATGCTGAGTTCAAGGTCGTCTGAGGGCCGCGCTCCCCGCATGTAGCAAGAGATTGTGGAACTAGGCCTATACGATATTAAATGTAATTTACCGAGTTAATAGGGACGCGAATCATGAAATTAAATATCAGTTATTAAATTGAAAATAATTATAGATCGTTTCCCAGTCTGAAAATGTTGCGTACGTCTGGTAAATAAGTCACTCCCGGAAAGCACCAGGGAGCAAGGTGGCCGGGGAGCTGTGAGAGAGGTCAAGGACCACCTCTGTGCTGTACCCAGGAGAGACGGATTGCGTGACCTGGTCAGTGGCGGCTCGTGCATAGGGCTGCAGAGCTGCAGTCCCCCCAGACACTCACTGCCAGGCGTATGATTCCTTTAGAGAGACAGCTGAATAATACACTACCAACAAATATATCATTTTATATGTTATTTAATTATTTTCAATACGTTGCTAAGTGAATTTTCATTAAAATCAGACCAAAATTTAAGTTACTTTCATAGTTGCTGTCAATGCTGTACGATTCATGTCTGTTATTAATTGGCGCCGCCGCCGCTGCACTTGAAGCAGCTCAGTCTCGTACAACGTGTGGACGGTGTGGTTAAATCGTGCTTTCTTTAATTACCCTTTGACGATGGAAAATCGAGTGAAGTATTTGCAAAACATCAACTTTTCCCAGCTGAGATTAAATGAAAAGACTGAAATCAAAGCAAATCAAAGCAAGAGGAAGACCTACACCAGTTTTATCCATTCAACAGAACAGAACAGTACAAGCAGGAACAAAGAATATACACGCCAGTTTAACATGAGTGTTTATGGCTCTGTGGTTGTGACGAGGCAAATACTTTATTCTGCTTTCCATGCTTATTGTTTGGTGGGGACTCGGCATGGTCGAAAAGTGGTGTGACTGACTTGAGGCATTTGCCACAGAAAATAGTGAAACATGAGCAGTCAGCCAAACATATGAATAACATGATTAATTTATCGTTGCTGGGTAAAGTGAACATTGCAGCTCAGATAACAGAAATAAAGGGTTTTAATGAAATAGTAATAAACAATTTTGCTACATCGAAGAGCAGACACGCTGACTTTATTTTCAATTAATACTGGTCCATCACCACCAACACTACTACCATGCCCTGGGAATTCGTGGACATCAACTACAACTCATACCTGAGGTAGGTCAAATTTGTGTATCCTACTGTTGTGTGAGGCTTGCAGTCCCTCCATTTTATTTTTCACGAGCCGCCACTGGACCTGGTTCCTTCGTTTATTTAACATCAGTATTAACAAGTAAGTTTTATTCAATCTCAAAGCTTGATAGGGCGGTAGGAACAAACGGTGATGTGAGACAATAGCTAACAGCCCGGGTTTTTCAGGGTTCTGTAGGCCCCACGCGGTATGAGACACGAGTGGTGAAGCGAGCTGTATGACCGTCCATTGACCTGGGTTTGAGCCACCTGCTGAGTATGGTGAGAGTTGGAGTGAACCCAGCTGTCTAGGTGCCCAACTAACGACGTGACGATCGTTTGGGGTCATCAACTCTCCTCTATCTCGGCTCACAATACCACATATCTCAAGCAGCTTAGTGACACCCTCTTGCTAACGGGAAGCTAAAGCTTCTCTGAACTGTACAAGGTCTGATTGGCTCATTCCTTCCGCTTCAGGGATGTACTGGGGTTAAAATGAAGCCAGCTGAGTGATACAGGGCCGCACACACTAGCGTAGCTAGGGGGGGGCGGGGGAGGGGGGGCGGTCCGCCCCGGGCGGCACTTTTGGGTCTGCTCATCACCCATATCTGCAGCTACTGGAGACGTTAATCCATCCCTTTGTATCGGCGGCAAGTTAATCCTTGTCGTGTCTGACTTAACACCTGACCCACATCATCACGGCCACGTCATGAGCTACACCCTTGCTATGCGCCCCGCCACACACACAACCTGTAACCTGTTGAGGATTAAGGAAACAACTTCAAACAAGTACGCCAGTGAGCTCATGTGGTGTGGGTCAGGTGTTAGGTCAGACACGACGAGGATTAACTTGCCGCCGATACAAAGGGATGGATTAACGTCTCCAGTAGCTGCAAAACCATGCAGTCTCGGGTCATATCAGTGGTTTTTTCAAACTCTGCCAAATGGTGAAAGAATGTTGAGATCATGGATGATGTACCCCCCTTCCAAGGAAGCTCTTTACTGCTTTTGTTGCAAACTGTTTTCAGACAGAAGTAACTCAAAATTTAATTCTGAGGATGGATTCAACATATGGTGGAAACTGAATCCTAGAATATCCGAGCACGAATCCAGTGCAGCTCACGTTCGGAATTTCACACAATGGAAGGAGTTGGAAATTAGGATTGCTCGTGGAGCAACAATCGATGTATTTTTTGTGGTCGCACGGGGGCGGCAAACTCAAGGGCCGCCCCGGGTGGCACACACTCTAGCTACGCCACTGGCCGCACACTGGGGCCAAGAGTCAGTGGAGTTTAGAGGTAGACTTTCCAAGGTGGAGAAAAGCTGATTTGGGCCTTAAACTACGGGTGCCTGTTAGTTGTGCCTTAAACGACTACAGAGTGCAGGTGGAATCTGTGTGTGTGTTAGGTTAGGAAGCATGGTTCACGGGTATTGGTGGACTCAGCAACTTAATAATAGTGACAATATTTTTGTGTATCGTGAATACTATTTTTTTCAGTTACTAATGTATGCTGTGTGCATTTAATATTTCTTTATAATCTCAGTCTCAGGTATAACCTTTGTTCCCCAGAGTAGTGTTTAAGTTAGGTTAGGAGGTGTGTATCTGTTGGGGTAATATAATTTTGTTGAGCGCCCTGAAGGCCTATTCAGGGTGGGGTTAATAAGTTCTATTTTTTATACCATTTTCTCAGTGCTGGATATCATTTTGTTGAGTGCCCTTAAGGCCTATTCATTGTAGAGTTATTAATTTCTATTTTTTTATACCATTTTCTCAGTGGTTGATATTATTTTGTTGAAAGCCCTTAAGGCCTGTTTCATGTGTGCAAGCAACATTTCTTAATACTTTAAACTTGTTGTCCTCTAATGAGGCATTGCCTGAGTTTCTAATAATTTCAACATCATGTATAACTTTTATTCCCCAGAGTAGTATTTTAAGTTCAGGTTAAGAAGTGTGCATATTGGTGTACCATTATTTGATTGTGTTTGTAGTGTTGGAGGGAATATAAGTGTAAATTCTACAGTGTGTCTCATTCATCCCAGTCACAGACGCTATCCTTCTACGGGTCACGGACAATTCATTTTGTTTAGTAGATTCAAGTGTTCTTGTGCTGGTTCGGGATTTTTCTCAAAGGGGCGCTTCCACTGGGATTACCATCTAATAATCTTTAATAAACCCCAAGTCAAGTGAGAAATTAAAAGTCCAGTAAATTCCGACCGGTATATATATATATATATATATATATATATATATATATATATATATATATATATATATATATATATATATATATATATATATATAATGTCAGGTGTTCTCTTGCACCCCCTGGATAAATTCCTGCAGACTCCCATGTACTACCCTAACAGGCCCTGATCAAAGCTCTCTGTCTGACTTATCTGTTTGGGCAATCCCTCTAATTTCTGTAAAGTACGGTACTTTTAACTCTCCATACTAATCATCACACGTATTCATCTTAAGCATGTCATTGCTGATGAATCTAATGTGCATCTAGTAACAACCAGAGTCCATGTATTACAGTACTCCCATATTGTAAAGTTGGTTCAGCGATTCGTTTTTACATCTTTAGCTGTTGAATCATCATCATCATCAAT